TATAGTACAACTCCTAGCTAGTTGTTTTTCTAATTGGCTACCCATTTTTTTTTTTCACAACATTCTCTCACTGTCATATTAAAATACTAATTTGGTCCCCAGCAAATGAGGTGCACAAGTGTCTCAGCCTTCTCAGCTTCCCTTGTCCTACGCTTCTCATCCTGGCTGACAGCCTTCTTCACCGGCTCTCCGTTGCCGGAAAACCGTCTTACGGTAGTACTGGGGTTGCCTGATTCCGACCTGGGTCTCGCCGGAGAAGGCTTGATTCCGGCCATCATCATGCCTTTCGAGTGGTGTTGCTTGAGCTCTTGGAAAGCCTGCTGCTGGTGTTTCTCGCACCCCCTACCTATAACCTCTATTAACTGATCGGAAGCTAAGGAACGTATGATTTTGAAAGGGTCTTGGGATCTGAATTTTGGCTCTTACACTTGGCTGGCATGAGAAATGAAGGAATGGATACGTGGAGTGTGGTTTTTCACCACGTCTACTTCTTGACTCTTTTAAACTCGTGGTGTTTGGACCAAAACAAGGGGTGACATTCCCATTGACAGTACCCTGTTTGAAACATATTGAGTATATGAGAATATATATATATATATATATATATTTTAGCATCGGAAAATATTTTATTTGAAATATTCTAAAATATACTGTATTAAATTATTATTTTTAACTAAAAAGGAAAAATAAAATAAAATTTGAATACCTTATTAATCAAATAATAATAATGAAATTTTAGAATTACTAAAGCAGGAAAGAATTTGAACCAGAATTATAGTAATTTAAAGTGGAATTAAATGATGATGCAAGTAATTTGCAATGAAAAATTAGAATTGTTAAAGCACGAAATAGACCGAATTTGAACCTGAATTATGTTGGCAATATACCTAAGGTCCACCCTTAATAAACTCTACAGCTGTTATAGCTGAACTGACCCCCAAAAATATATATATACCAAAGGCACGAAGACCAAGCCAAAACGATAGTGCAAAAGTAAAAAAATCAAGCTAGAAAAGATATATAAATCTTAAAATAAAGTAAAAAAAAAAATGAAAAAGAGACTCCAACAAAAATATAAGGTTTAAGTGCTAGTAATTTGTAATTAAACATTAAAATTATTAAAGCATGAAATAGAGTGACAAAAATCTAATTTTATTAATGAGAGAAGTCTCTCTTGTTGAGTATCCTTATATTTCAAACTTTAAAAACATTATTAAAAAGAATTAAAACATTTTTTTTTTAAAATGAAAAAAAAAAAAAAAAAATTACTCCCTCTGTCTCAATTTAGATATTGCTTTTTGGGAAGTAGGAATTTTTAAGTGATCTCCTTGAAAAGTTATTAATTTGTCCCTTATATTTAAGTTTGAAATTTTAAACTCTAAGAATATATATGAAAAAATATAAAATATATTATTTGAAAAAGAAAAAGAAACAATTATTTTAAAACAAACTTAAAAAAAATATATATATATATGACATCATTTTTTTTTTTTTTTTTTTTTAGATAAAGGGAGTAATAATAAGTGGTGGACCTAAAAATTCCTTGTCAGAACCTGCTGCCCAGAGTCTGCAGACTGCAGGTAATGGTGCGTTACAAGCCATGGGCGGTTTAAAAATGATAATAGTACAAAACCAATAGCTGTAGTAATATTTGGAATCACCCACTTGTTTTGTTTGACTCTAAACCCACAAACAAAACAAAACAATAAACAAATGCAAAACCACTGACTTGGATTCCTTCAATCAATTGCGAAAACCAGTTTCCCACTTTCCCATCATCTCTATCTATATATACGTACACAACCAATAAATTAAATATTATACATACAAAAAATAATACATATAAACCAAAAAAAGAACGTACAGAGATCGATCGAAGATGGGTTGGACAAGTAGAGCTTGGATTGTTGCGGCTAGTGTTGGAGTGGTGGAGGCACTGAAGGATCAAGGGTTTTGCAGATGGAACTACACTTTGAAGTCTCTTCACAGACACGCCATTAACAACCTGATCAGCTCCTTCTCTCAAGCTAAGATTAATCTTTCTTCTTCTTCTTCTAAATCCGAGGAGTCTCTGAGGAAAGATCATGTACTTGAGCTGTTGGAATCCCAATTAACTGATTTGATATTGGGTGCTTAATTTAGAGAATTAAGTGATCATGATCGACAAGATGATGTTAGAAGACACAAGACCACCGTGGGATCTAAATTACGCAATTCTGCTAAACTGTTTCGCTCACACGCTCTCTGCGACTTAGGGTGGGATTAACTGTATATATATACATACTGTGATCATTTGCATATACATGTTTCCAAAAGCATATAATATAGTGGATGGCAACTTTGGCAAGTTAATTATTAGAATAAAAAAGTTATCAAAAAATTTGCAGCATTGCCCAGTTTTGCAAAGATATATACATCGCATATATGTACTAGCATACATATTAATTCAGTCTCTCTTAATGCAAACTATTCAATTGAATTTGGATTCACCCAGATCTTTGTGTTGGATTTGAGTTTACTCAAGTCTTGTTAGCTTCTTCTGCATGCTCAATAACTTGAACAGAGGCTTAATTCTGACTTTGCTTGTTCCAAAGCTCTGCGCTACTCAATTGAATCAACCTTCTTATAGTACAGCTTCAATCTGTTCATAATTTTTTTTTTTTTTGGTAAATCAATTTCATTAAAGGAAAACAGAAACTCTACAAAGGAGGCAAAGCCCATAAACAGAAGAGGCCACAATCGGCCCAAGCCGTGAACAAGAATAATTTAGGTTTAATAAAAATAAATGCGAGTAGTTTGGGTTTAGCTCATTATTATTTTGAAATGCATAGCTACGGCTCCTTTAATAAAAATAAAATTCGAACTTTGATATTACATTCTTGATGAGAGTTGAGACTGATTTGAGCTATTGTTTCATTAATTTATTTATATGTTTCCGTCAGCCTATCTTTATGTTTATGAAAAGATGGGTAAGAGTTTGGTCGTGGTGCCTCAACAAATATCATGTTTAGGTTTACTTTCTTTTGAACGTAAATAATTCATTTTCGAGTGAGGTGTGTGAGTATCAACTCAGAAAACAAAAATATAGAAGAACTTTGTATTCATAGGACATTAGCCAAGCCTAACAATGTTCGTAATTTCCTTGTTTATTAAACAAGTTTAATAATCGAGCACGAACACTTAATGAAAGAGTTTAAACCGCACAAGAAAATTGATCATTCCATTGACATGGGCTTAAAATCACTCGACCAAGCCTCTTCCTAACATTAATTAACATTTCTTATTCTATTATTAGATCAGTAGGATATGTTTGATGCACTTAATATCTTTTCAAATATGAATTATTGTGGAAGTAACGTGAAAGTAAGGTTAATGTAGATGTCTTTCAATAGCCTATTTTCACTTGTGCGTCTCTGTCAATAAATTATTAGACAAATTAATTTTAATTCTACCAGAGTTTGGAGTTTGAAGGTTATACCACCTATGTCAAAGATTTAGTGATGAATTTGAAGCAATAATTTTGATTTATCTATGGTCTCATAATATCTGATTGAGAAGTAAATAATCCCATTGCATTTCATTGATGCAACGTGTGCAATTTGCATAATAGTCATTAAAACAGAGCAACCGGTTTCATCCTAAACTCTGGGCTTCGATGGATTTTATTTCAAGAAAAATAAAGAAGAAGAAAACCATGTGCCCACCACCAACCAAACAGGTGGCGACTGACGAGGACAAACAAGTGCCTCATCAGGTAAATTGCCCATTTTCCCTTGTATTATTAAAGTTGCTAAACAGATTGTATGGGTAAAATAGTCATTCCATAGCCCAATCGCCCACAGAAGCAACCCATTGGATTTTCCATACTCCCAAACCACCCCTCGGTTTCACTCTCGCGGCATATTTGTGCGTGTGTATATATATATATATACACACGCTCCCGTAAGAATTAGACTACAAGCATCAAAGTAACTCCCAATCTCCAAACAAAAAAGTCCTTACAAATCTCTCTGCTATTTAATTTCTCAAATCTAATTGTTGTCCAAAAGATTAGAAGATCAATAGAAAAGAGTCGTCTGAAGAAAGAGAAAGAAAGAACGAAGAAGATGAGTTCAACAAGCAGAGCCTGGGTTGTGGCCGCGAGTGTCGGAGCTGTGGAGGCGTTGAAAGATCAGGGATTCTGTAGGTGGAATCACACAATAAGATCAGTACACCAACATGCAAAGAACAATCTCAGGTCATTTTCTCATGCCAAGAAGCTCCCAAAATCATCTTCGGCGGCGATGGCTTCTGGTAAAGTGAGGGACGAGATGAAGATGAAACAATCGGAGGATTCTCTGAGAAACGTCATGTATTTGAGCTGTTGGGGACCAAATTGAACCCCATAATAGTGTCGCAACACGACTGTATACTGTATAATTTGGAAGCAATTGCTCTGTTAATGTAAAACAGATTTTGACAACTTTTTCTTTTGCAGCAGTGCTTTTACTTCACAAAATCGCATCCATTAAGTCATTAGTGTGTTGCTTTTATAGCTTGATATATATATATATATATATATATATATGTATATGCTTTGAGATACTGTAACGTAGCACTGGGGAAAAAAATTAGATAATTTAAGAAATGGTACAATTAGCAGTTTATAATTTAAGAAACTGGTACTGACCAGTGAAGTAACAATTGATTCTTTTTTTATTGTCAAGATATGAATGGATCACTGCTTGCTTCACTGAAGCAGGATTTGATCTCACGTCCAATGTCAGCCGCTTCATCTTCAACTGCTCTTGGAATTTCCCTTCATCGCTTTTAGTGGCAATTCCTCAACTTCTTGCATTGCGTGCCCCATCTATTTCGGATGACAAGTTGATTTGGGCAGCCTCTCCATCTGGAAGGTTTAGCCTCAAACACACTGCAGCTCTCTTATCTCCTCCTATCCGTCTGTGCTATGGTTCAATTTGGTTTGGTGTTCCCCAGCCATCCCTAGAATTAGATTTATTATGTGGCTTGCAGTTCAAGGTCGTCTCCTAACTCTGGATGGGAGATCAATGGCAAGACATGAGAATGTTTGTGCCCTTTGCAATGTCAAACCGGAATCTCACTATCACCTGTTCTTCTCTTGCGAATTCACATCTCCAATTTGGTCCTTCTTCAAGGCAAAGTGTAGGGTCACTATTGCAGCCCTACCGTGGCCAGAGATTGTTTTGGCATTCAGTAACCAGTGGTCCTCTCCACCCCCATTGAATCTTCTTAGGAAGCTCTGCCTCGCAGCTCTGGTGTACCACATTTGGGAGGAGAGAAATGCTCGTATCTTTCGTGGGGGCAAGTTATCCCAAAATTCGATTCGATCCAGGGTTTCCAATAGTATTACCTCAATCCTGAAATTGGGGATTTTCAGGAACTCCATCGCTGCTCATCACGTCCTCAAGGACTGGGACCTTCCTCCCTCTTGTCGTCGTCCTCCGCCGCGGCCGCCGGACTGAAGTAATGCCATTAAAGCTTGCTCACCGGATTTGTGCCTCATTCCACCATTAACAGCTATTTATCAGTGCAGTTTGTTTGTTTTCATTCTGGGCCTTGGGCCGTAAAAATGTTGTATTTTTCACTTTGGGCCTCTGGGCTCACTCGTTGCCCACTGTTTGGGTTTGTTTGGGCCAAAGGCCATCTCTGTACAGGTCTTTTAATTTTATATATTAGCTTCAACTTTTGGAAAAAAAAAAGGAAAAAAAAAAAGAAGGTAGACTTTGAAAGCAAGCTATTTTATTTAGATTAGATACAAAAAGGTAAGATAATAATTTAATTATTATCATTTTCTTTCTTTTCTCTCCTCTCTTTTATCCAAACAAGAATATTATTCATTCATCTCTTTTATTCCGTATATATTCAAACATGAATACAAATTATAAGTATCATTTCCTTTCCTTTATTTTCTCTCATAATTAATGTTATCATTTTTTTTTCTTTTCTCTCATGTGTATCCATACGAAGCCTAAAGGAAAAAAGAAACTGTAGAAAAAGATGCAAAAGCCCATAGGTAACAAAACAACAGAAGAGGGGCCACAATTGGCCCAAGCCATGAACAAGAATAATTTAGGTTTAACTCGTCATTATGAATTTTTATGATTAGTTTAGGTTTAGCTCGTCATTATTTTGAAAATACTTAGCTATGGCTCCTTTAATAAAAATAAAAGTCCAACTTTGATATTACATTCGTGTTGAGACTAATTTGAGCTGTTGTTTCCATCAGCCTATATTTATTGTTTCATGAATTTTTATACAACTATATGTTTCCATCAGCCTATATTTATGTTTATGTTTATGAAAAGGTGCGGAAGAATTTGGTCGTGGTGCCTAAAAAAATATCATATATTAGGTTCAGTTGTTCTTGAATGCAAATAATTCCTTCCAAATGGGGTGTGTGAGTATAACTAAGAAAGCAAAAATATACAATAGCTTTGTGTCCATAGTACATTAGCCAAGCCTAACAATGTTTGTGATTTTCTGGTTTATTAGACAAGTTCAATAATCCAGCTCGAACACTTCATTCCATTAAAGAATTTGAACCACACAAAAAAAAAAAAACTGATCATTCCATTGGCATGGGCTTAAAATCACTAGGCCAAGCCTCTTCCCTAAAATTAACTAACATTTCTTATTCTATTATTAGATCAGAAGGATATGTTTGTTGCGCTCGATATCTTCTTCTCAAGTATGAATTATTGTTGGAGTAACGTGAAAGTAAGACTTATGGTACACATCTTCCAATAGCCTATTTTTACTTGTGCGCCCACCATGGCCAATCTATCAATAAATTGTTAGAGAAATTAATTTTAATTCCACCATTAGAGTTTGAAATTTGAAGGTTATACCACCTATGTCAAAGATTTAGTGATGAATTATATGGATCAGGATCATCTTCAGTCTCATAGTAATCCATTTTTTTCTTTTTGTGTTAATAAACAGTAGTTACTAAGGTGAGTAAAAATGTTTATTTGTTTTATACACAATTTTCATATACATATAGGTGAGTAAAAATGTTTATTTGTTTTATACACAATTTTCATATACACATTAGAGTTTGAAATTTGAAGGTTATACCACCTATGTCAAAGATTTAGTGATGAATTATATGGATCAGGATCACCTTCAGTCTCACAGTAACCCATTTTCTCCTTTTTGTGTTAATGAACAGTAGTTACTAAGGTGACTAAAAATGTTTATTTGTTTTATACACAATTTTCATATACATGAAAATTGTGTATAAAACAAATAAACATTTTTAGTCACCTTAGTAACTACTGTTCATTAACACAAAAAGGAGAAAATGGGTTACTGTGAGACTGAAGGTGATCCTGATCCATATAATATATATGTATACACTGTTCACAAATACTATTTCTTCTTCCCTTCCTTATTTTTAGCAACTCATTTTAGCAACCCAAATCCCGCCATTTTCTTCTGTATATGAAAATTGTGTATAAAACAAATAAACATTTTTAGTCACCTTAGTAACTACTGTTCATTAACACAAAAAGGAGAAAATGGGTTACTGTGAGACTGAAGGTGATCCTGATCCATATAATATATATGTATACACTGTTCACAAATACTATTTCTTCTTCCCTTCCTTATTTTTAGCAACTCATTTTAGCAACCCAAATCCCGCCATTTTCTTCTCTCCCAAAATATTGATTTTGACAAAATCTCGCCATTCAGCAACCCAGATTTTGATTTCTTTCCAAAATATTGTTTATTTCCAAAATATTTCAGCAACCCAAATTTTGCAGTTTGCGTAGAGATTTGGAACACAAGAATGACAATTAATTTGTTTCCATAAATTCACATGCCAATCCAGATGTTTGGGATGTTGCTCTGTTCCAATATTTCTCAATTCCTTTATTTTCATAAATTTCTCAGATCTATTTCTCCATTTATTTGTTTCCATAAATTTTTACTTCCCTTTCCTCGTATACTTGGTCATTTTATTTCAAATTAACATAGCAATATTGGAACAGAGCAACATCTGAACTGGCATGGTTTTTTTGTTTAATTATTTGTGTACTGCATAACATCACAAACAGTTTGTAATTTAAGTCAATATAAGTTGTACACAACATCCCAACATAATCCTAATAGATTATTTATACATAACATCCCACCAGTTTGTAATTTAAATCAGTATAAGTTGTACGTAATATTTCAACATAATCCTATATTTCATACTTATGTTATACGTAAAATCCCAACAAAATTCGTACTCTTTAATCAGATAAGAAAAAAAAAAAGACCAAAAATTGAGATTTACATGAATAAAGCTTAGATTTATGAATGATACTCTGGAGTTTCTGCATAATACTCCAGTGAAATTACATGAGTTTTTGGAGTGTGTTTGGATTTTGAAGTGAAGTGTTGAAATTCAAAAGTTACTATGAGTCCTTGAAGAGTCCATTAATAAAAGCTGGTGAAGTTTTTAGAAAGAGAGAAAGGAAGAAGACGACATTTTAGAAGAAAATAAGCATATTTTAGATACAATATTTAAATATATTTATATATATGAAATACAATATTTGAAGCTTTTATATATAAAATATAAGAGTGGTAAAAATTTAATTATTTACAATTTTTAATTGATATGGTCAATTCTCCTTTACTTATTTCAAAATGGTAAAAATAACACACCGACTGAAGGTGATTTTCACCCTGAATTCTACCACTTCATCAAGCAATAATTTTGATTTATCTACGGTCTCATAATATCTGACTGAGAGGTAAATAGTCCCATTGCATTTCATTTTTGCAACGTGTGACTGGTAAAGAGCAACCGGTTTCATCCGAAACTCTGGGCTTCAATGGATTTTATTTCAAGAAAAAAGAAAAGAAAACCATGTGCCCACCACCAGTGACCAGACAGGTGGCGACTGGCGAGGACAAACAAGTGCCTCATCAGGTAAATTACCCATTTTCCCTTGTATTATTAGAGTTGCTAAACAGATTGTATGGGTAAAAGAGTCATTCCATAGCCCAATCGCCCACAGAAGCAACCCATTGGATTTTCCATACTCCCAAACCGCTGCCCCTCGGTTTCACTCTCACTGCATATTTGTGTGTAGATATATATATATACACACACCCATGAGAATTAGACTACAAGCATCAAAGTAACTCAATCTCCAAACAAAATAGTCCTTACAAATCTCTCTCTACTCTTTAATTTCTCAAATCTAATTGTTGTCCAAAAGATTAGAAGATCAATAGAAAAGAGTCGTCTGAAGAAAAAGAAAGAAAGAACGAAGAAGATGAGTTCAACAAGCAGAGCCTGGGTTGTGGCCGCGAGTGTCGGAGCTGTGGAGGCGTTGAAAGATCAGGGATTCTGTAGGTGGAATCACACAATAAGATCAGTACACCAGCATGCAAAGAACAATCTCAGGTCATTTTCTCAGGCCAAGAAGCTCCCAAAATCATCTTCGGCGGCGATGGCTTCTGGTAAAGTGAGGGACGAGATGAAGATGAAACAATCGGAGGATTCTCTGAGAAACGTCATGTATTTGAGCTGTTGGGGACCAAATTGAACCCCGTAATAGTGTTGCAACACTACTGTATATTGTATAATTTAGAAGCAATTGCTCTTTCAATGTAAAACAGATTTTGACTACTTTTTCTTTTGCAGCAGTGCTTTTTACTTCACAAAATCGCATCCATTAAGTCATTAGTGTGTTACTTTTATAGCTTGATCCATATATATATATATATATATATATATATATATATGCTTTGAGATATTATAACGTAGTATTGGAAAAAAAAAATAGATAATTTAAGAAATGATGCAATTAGCAGTTTATAATTTAAGAAACTGGTATTGACCAGAATGAAGTAACAATTGATTCTTTTTTTACTGTCAAGCTATGAATGGATGACTGCTTGCTTCATCAAGAACTTTTAATATATATATTTTTAGCATGTCACTCTTTGTTTGGAATTGTGTAGATATATATATATAGTTTGGATCATCCATCAGGTCAGCTGCAGAGATGTTTATGGTGGATCAATGGTGAAATTAGATGGTGGGATGTCACTGTTCCTTTCAGGGAGAACAGATGGAGAGAGAAAGTAATGGAAATACGTTAAAACTTACGAAAATCAATGGTTAAGGAAGAAGTTCAATAGGAATAAATGATAGAAACAGGGTGATCAATTTTAGGATAATTACAAATGAACTTGGCACTATTAAGCATCCTTTTGCATATTAAGCATTATTACAGCTCCCATGAGCTTATCCTGATTTTATCAAATTTTCTGACCCTTTTCAAAAGAACATAGGAAGATTTTACTGTTCAAAATTCATTTGCAGTACACCATGCGTTTCAGTCAAGTTTTAACTAGTTTGTACAACATGATTGTATTTTACGATATTTTGACTTTTTTTTTTTTATTATTATTTTATCACAAAATACCACTTTAAGTTCTTTAACGGTGGTAGGTGTTGATTAGGGGTGACAAAAGTTGATACGACTTGCCAACACGACTCGAATACGACACGAATTAAACGGGTTTGAGTTGACTTTGAACGGGTTTAGGTCATAAACGAGTTGACACGATTACTCGAATACGATACGAATTAAATGGGTTTGAGTTGACCTTAAATGGGTTCAGGTCATAAACGAGTTGACACGATTAACCTGTTTAATTAATCGTGTCGTGTTTGGGTTGAAGAGTTCAACCTGTATAACTCGTTTATATACGTTTAACTATATATGTCGTAAATAAATTTTTATTTAAATTCTAAAATTACTATATAAACTTGTGTCTTATAATTTAATCTTTTGTAAACTAGAAACTATTTAGTAATTTGGTTGATTAAAACTTATATTTTTTTTAGTATTAATTATTTTATTGAGTATTATTAATAATTTAAATAATATAATTTTATTTTTTTTGTGAATAGATTATTAAACGGGTTACACGTGTAATCGGTTTAATAAATAAGTCGGATTAGTGTTGAGAGTTTTTGACACGATTATTAAACGGGTTGTATTCGAGTTGAGCTATTTAGTATAATACCCTTAAGTTGACACGACACGATTACGATCCGCGAACACGAATTACCACCCTTAGTGTTGATTGGGCTGTTAGAGGTACAACTGAGACCCAATTGATATATAAAATGTTTTAACTTTTACTCCACCTCTAAATCCTTATTATTCGCCCAACTCATTCTTGAATTTTTTAAATTTTGATTTGTAATTCGGGTTGATAATTCGGATTAAAAAGATGGATTATTCATATGACCAATCTCCACATTTGAAATTTATAATCATCTATAATTAGTTTTAGATTGAATTACTTCTAAGTACAAAAAAGTTTTAAACTTAATGCAAATTTTTAAAAGATTACAAACAAATTTTAAAAAAATTTATTTTTTCAAAAGGGTTAACAAACAACAAATTAAAATTTAAACAAAGGAGTTAAAAAGAAAGTGGTGATCATAAAAAAAAACATATATTATTTTATTAGTTTGGATAGACCGAAATTTATGATGAAAAGTGAAAGTGAAAAAAAGAAAAATCAAGTTTCCTGCACGCATTTGGTTAGCAAGAAAAAATTTCAAGAAAGTTAGGAAAAATATTATTTTATTAGTTTGGATAGCATGAAAGGGAAAAGAAAATAATTTACTTACCAAAACTACCCTCATGATTTAAAATATTAAAAAATAAATTAATTTTGTGTTAGATGAATCATCTTTATACCCAATTATTTATATTAAATTTTAGCAATTAAATAGTAAAATAATGGATTAATAATAATAATTATTATTGTTTATATTCATATTTAAGTTAAACAAAGTAAGGATGACTACATTTTAGTTGTCATATTCTTTATATTTTCTGTTTCAATAATAATTATTTATATTTATATGTAGAATATAATTTACTTATATTGTGAAAAAAAAAATGGAGAAATAACTGGGCATAATAGGAATTTTGGAAATAAAATGACAGTTTTGTATGAGAAAGTTAATTTTTTTTTATGCGGAGAAATATTTTGGGAAAATTTATCGATGCGGGAATCTCACTTTCCCAAAAAATTTTCCTTTCTAGATAACCAAACTCCTAAAAATTAAATATCTTTTTCGTTTCTTTTCCTTTCTATCTACTTTACGCTAATCAAACGAACCCAAAATATATGGTGTTTTTGACTCTTAACCCAAGTTTATATGAACTTGACCAGTATTGAGTTAGAGTTGACTCATCAACCTTAAACCACTCCAACTGCACCCTAAAAAAGCTCGTGAACCTGACCAGTAGAGTCTTCGCTTACAAGGTGAGGAGGCTGATTAGTCTTGACATTATCCTTATCCACAAAATCAGCATAACTTTTCTTCCGCACAAAGAGACAGGAAAATCACCCACCAAAAGAAATGACCCCACTCAGACAATCGATCGCAGCTGGTTTCATCGTCAAAGGGATTTCAATTTCAAGAAGAAACAAAAACCACGTACTCGGGCTCACCACCTAACAAGTGGCAAGGATAAGATCTTCTTAATCAAGTAAAGTACCTATTTTGTCCCTATAAAATTTATGTTGCTAAGCTGCTTGTATGGGTGAAAGAGTCATTCCGACACCCCATCGCCCACGGTAGAAAACCCATTGGATTTTCCAGACTCCCAAACCACTGCCTCTTGGTTTCACTCTCCTTGCTGAAGTGGCACTCCACAATAAAATTTTTGCCTCTATATATACACAAACTGAGGCCCATAAGAAATTATAATACAAGCATCGAAGTAACTCAAATATCGAAACACAAAATTACTTATAAATATCTCCTACTCTTTAACTTGTCAATTTCCTGTTCCAGAAGATCAACAGATAAAGAGTTCAGTGTGAAGAAAAAGAAAGAAGAAGATGAGTTCAACAAGCAGAGCCTGGGTTGTGGCCGCAAGTGTCGGAGCTGTGGAGGCATTGAAAGATCAGGGATGCTGTAGGTGGAACCACACGATAAGATCATTACACCAGCATGCCAAGAACAATTTCAGGTCATTTTCTCAGGTCAAGAGGCTGTCTTCGTCATCTGCGGCGATGGCTTCAAGTAAAGTGAGGGACGAGATGAAGATGAAACAATCGGAGGAGTCACTGAGAAAAGTCATGTACTTGAGCTGTTGGGGACCCAATTGAACCCCATAATACCTAATTAACTGTACACTTTATAATCTAATAGTAAATGAGATGGTTAATTTTGTAACTTTTGTTTTGCAACAATATTTTTACTTAGAAATTCTGGTACAATGAGTCATCAGTTTTTGGAGAACGCAGCTTATGATTTTGCATAATTGTGACTGTAGACGACATTTGTGTGGAGAGCTTCCTTTTAGAGTTTTCCACACTTACACAGAGGAGGAGTTGGGGGATTCTAGAACGCTGGGAAGTTTGTACAGATGTGTAAACTCTAAGATTAACCATGGCCTGTACGGGAGCTTTCAGTTTCTAAAATTTCTTACAAATTTTTTACGAGAAAGGGTATTAAAATATTAAAATAAAAAAGTTGTTTGGTTGGTAAATTTTTTGAAATTCTTTAATTTAAGTTAATAATTATATCCTTAATAGATTATAAATAATAACAAATAGTTGAATCTGGATGTACAAAGGAGGGGGAAAAAATCATAATTAGAGTGATGGAGTAAATTGTTAATGATGCAGTAACGATTAATTAATTGACATAGTGAAGATTCACATATGCAAATTTATTCAATCTATATGGTAGAAGAAGTTTTTTTTCCTTGACTAAATGATAGAAGTTGAAAGAAATGAAAAAAGAAAAGAAAAGAAAAATAAAACGAAAGAGAGATACGGCATTTATAATTATAAATTACTTTCACAACAAAACAGTGTTGAATTTTGGATGAGAGTTTATAAATCTTAGAACTCTTTAGACTTTGAAATCAAATGGAAGTTGATAGAAGTTTTTCATGCAACTCCTCAATCTCTTAGTTCTTCCTTTGACAATCTTATTTATTTATTTTTTTATTTTTTTCCTAGTTGGGTACTTACACACACGGCCTCCAATGAGATTCGAACCCTGACCTCCCTTTGGGAAGTAGAGGCCTTGTACCGCTAGGCCACAGACCCGTTTGACAATTTTTTTTCATTAAAGTTATGTGAAATTTGTTCAGCATTATTATTATTATTATTTTGTTGGGTAGAGAACCAATGAAGAAGATAATACAGAATGAGAAAGATAAAAGTTTGTAATGAAATTCAGAAATAAAAATAAGTTAAATAATGGACAATATAGGAATTTTATATTTATTATTTAAAAAATTGAGCAGCTTGCGAAAAGTAGACCAGGAAGCATGTTTTAAAAAAATTCGTATTCAGAAATTTTACCAGACGCTCTTTGTTATTGGCAAAGGACTTTCTAGACTTAGAAGCTTCGTTTTGAGGCTATAGAAAGCCTAACCAAACAGGCCCCAAATATTTATATAGAGTGTTTTAAACATAGATATTAACTATTAATATAAATATGTATATTTGAAATATAAATATACATATAGGGAATGTCTAAAAGTGATGTCTATATATAGAATGAGAGTTTGATTTGTAATATTAAGTTTCATCAGCAAAGTTATTTATTTATTTATTATTATTATTTTTTTTCATGATATATATCTAAGGAATGTCTAAAAGGATGTCTATATATAGAATGGGAGTTTGATTTGTAATATTAAGTTTCATCAGCAAAGTTATTGTTATTATTGTTTTTTTTCATGTCTCTTATTTTGTTATAAGTCAAAAATATAAATATACAATTTGAAATTTGTAGCAGCCTAGTCGTGAAATTAGAGGATTGTAGTAGTTAGATATCACTTATTTGTAATGATTGTAGTAGATAGATATCACTTACTTGTAATCAAGAAGAACAATGTTATTGAAGCCACCACTTTAATATTCAAAAATGTGATAATATCATCCATACGAAAATTTTCATACTAAAAAAAAGTTTATTTAAAGGAAAATTTGTGTTCTAATTTAGAGAAACTACAAGACAATTGTAATGGGGTGCAGATTTTAATGTGAAAGATGGAGGGACAAATTTTAATTTTTACTTCTTCTCCCAAAAAAAAAATGTTATATTGTTATTATATAAAAAGTGCTACAATGTTTTTTTTTTTAATGAAGTAGGATAAAAATGTACTAAACTGGGACAGAAATGGACCACCCATACATCAGTAACATCACACAAGGATAGAATAGAACCAGTCTGGCACACATAATTTAAAAAACTAGCTATCCCAAACAAAACCCACTTCAATTATTATTACTCGAAAACAACTAGTTTTTCCTCCCAATCTTCGGGCTGAAATCACAAGACAGTGGGCAGGGCTCATCACTAAAAAGTGGGCAGAAATATGCAAAATCCCTACTATACCCCCCAACTCATGAGTGATTAGACTCATTACATTGGCACCACCTAATTCACAAGGACAAATCAGTAATTCAAAACCAGAAACCATTTGCTTCAGCCTCCGGTTTTTCAATCGCTAGTTTCCAATTTCGTCATCACAGCATGCTATGCGTGTGTATGTATAACTATATATATATATTCTCAGTTCCTCTCATCTCATTCATCAAAACACAAACTTTAGTACAATCAAAATACTATATTGAAGTCTTCAAATTGTATACTGAAGGATCAAGAAAGATGAGTTCAACGAGCAGAGCTTGGATGGTGGCAGCTAGCATTGCGGCGGTGGAGGCATTGAAAGATCAGGGATTCTGTAGGTGGAACTACACGATAAGAACCATACACCAGCACGCCAAGACCAATCTCAGGTCATTCTCACAGGCCAAGAAGCTTTCTTCGTCATCTTCCACCGTGATTTCGAGCAGAGTGAGAGACCAGAAAGCAAAGCAGTCGGAGGAGTCACTCAGAAATATCATGTACTTGAGCTGTTGGGGTCCCAATTGATGAAAGAAGAATAATTTTTTTTTTTTGTTGTAAAATGTAAATACACACAAAAAAAAAAAAAAAAAAAAAGTAATTTTGATCTATCAGATAACTCGTATTTTGAGAATTGTTGTTTCTATTAATGTTGATTCTTGCTTGCTTCTTCACATTGTTGAATTCTGAATTGTGTATTTATTGTTTGGTTCATGGGATTGTGGATTCAGTCACAGCGTTTTTGGGTTGAGTGGGTTGTTAGGAGATGGTGAAAGAATCGGCGGTGGAGTGTTTGAGATTGGAGCGCAACCTACAACTCTGGCACCGACAAGCAATTGAAGAAACTGAGAGGAAATTGTAAGGTTACACTATCAGAACATCAAATTGGGTTCCAATTTAAACAGGTTGTATATCGGGGTTGATCGACTTTGGTGCGTGGTGGGTCTCTCCATTGACGATAATGTTGGGGTTGATTGACAAAGTCTCTTTCCATTGACTGATGCTACAATCGTGAGATAGACCAAAGATTGCAGAAGAGGACTTGGGTCTTGAGTCTGGGGGTTGATTGGATTTGGTGTGTGTCTTTCTCCATTAACGGTGATATAGAGGAAGTACAAGGAAGATGAAAAATACGATGAGGTTGATGAATGAGAGGGTCAGAGTCCAGTAGTTAAATAATTGATTTTCTCACAAATTCGAACGTCTTATATACATTCATATATATGTGTAAATCGATTGCAGATCACAACAACTGAGAACGAATCAATTACAGAGAATGGAGTAGATTTTTTTTTCTTGAAAAGATACCCTTATTGCGGGGAAAGCGGCGGAGTGTGTCGCCGGAGAATGGACACATGGCAAGGTGAGATTGGCTGAGGAGGAGATGGTGTTCGATGAGAGACAGTGCATCGTCTCTGTCCATTGATTTGGGATTAAAAATTCATTTATTAACTTTATTGTACTATGGGTATCTTTGTTATTTTCAATTTTTGCTTACGTACGTACCAATTTCGGGGACGGAACATTGACGGTTGGGGGAATTTTGCAAAAATCGCGATAGTTTAGGAGGTTTATTTAAAAAATAAAAGTTCAGGGGAGTTTTTTGGGAGCGAAAGTAAAAATTAAGGGGATTTTTTTACACTTTATTCTTAAAAATATGATGAATTGAACGAGTAGAGCTCGGGTTGTGACCGCTAAGGGTCACATCTGCGGAGGCATTGAAAGAAAAGAAAAGAAAAGTAATGTACTTGAGCTATTGGGGGACCCAATTGAACCCATAATTAGGGCTGGACAAAAAATTCGTGAGTTCGTGAATTCGATCCAATCCAAAGAAAAGTAATGTACTTGAGCTATTGGGGGACCCAATTGAACCCATAATTAGGGCTGGGCAAAAAATCCGCGAGTCCGTAAATTCGAACCGATCAGATCCGTATGGATCGGATCGGATTACCAGACCCACGAATTGTGGGTGGATTCAAAAATTTTGAATCCGTAATTCACGGATCGGATCACAAATTAGGCTGTCAAAAATCCGATCCGATTCGTGAATCCGATTCGTGACCGATCCGTGGATAATCCGTAAAATATATATATATATATATATATATATATATATATATATATATATATATGCTGGTTACGAAAATCAGATACGAAAATCAGAACAAGTAAATATATTACTATATATTAATCTTATATATATATATATATATATATATAACCTTACTTTTTTTTTATTTTCTTTGTTATTAGTAAGTATTATGTATTAACTGTATTATATATACATAAAACCTAAACCTAACTAAAGAAGATCAAGGAAGCCAAAAAGAAAGCGGCTACCTCAGTACTCTTCTTCACTTCTCACCTCTCTTCTTGACTTCTTTTGATCTTCATCAGTTGTTCACCGTAGGCTGCAACAACGACACTTTCATTGTCTGGATCTGCACAGTTTCTATTGAGTTCACAAAGTTTATTTTCTTCTCTTTTTTTTGATTTAAATATGTTGTGATTTTCTGGTGAAATTTCTATGATTTTGATTTTTGATTTTTGAAGTTTGTTGATCCGTAAAATTATAGTACTGCTCAAGGTTTCTCAACTAAGTATGAGATATTTGATTTCATTTTTATATTTTCTACCTTACTTTTGCTTTGAAATTCTAGCATCTTTATTCTTTTTCTAAGCAATCCCATCCAGTATTCTACTTTTTTTTATGGATTACTTAGATCAAGCCCTTACCATCAAAAGTTTATACTATTGCAGATGTGACTACGGTTTGAGGAGATTCATGGAGATTGTTATAGCATATGGAGTGACTGTCTGCTACCCCTTTTTTTCAGTCCGCGGATTGGATCCGATCCGATCTGTCATTTCACGGATCCGATCCGTGGACTAACGGATTGGTGGTGGATTCAAAATCTCCCAATCCGTTGTGAGCGAATCGGATTAGAATTGATGCCTAATCCGATCCGATCCGTGGCTACCCCTACCAATAATACCTAATTAATTGTATAATGTATAATTTAATAGCAATTGCTCTGTCAATGAAACAGATTTTGAGAAAGTTTGGTTTTGCCACAATGTTTTTACTACAGAGAATCTCATGCAATGAGTCATTAGCTTGCTAGTTTTACAGCTTAATGCCATTTATGTCGATTAATTTAGTAGAGTGTGGTAGTATAGCTTTTGCCATATTTTATCATCTCATAAATATGAGTCTGAGATATATGGATATATCCATTTCATGTCAAAACAGACATTTTCTGTTTATTTTTACACCGGGTCTTTCAGAGAGTCTCTTTTAGAAAGATTATCCTTGTCTTTGTTTGTGTCTCGGGTGGGTTCTAAAATCTTCCACATTTATGTATAAAATTATTGAGCGTTGAGATAGGGGGTGGATTAAGCACATTCAAAATTTTGTAGAGATTTCTAAAAGAATTAAGTTATAGTTTGTAAATATCTGCAATATTCATGCAATATTCATGTGAAGCTTAGATATTAAGTATGGATTGTAATGGATCTTATTTTAGAAGAATGCCTATATATAGGATGAGAGTTTAATTTTAAATTTTAAATTTTAGGGGTGAGAGTGACGAGAGTAACCAAGATATTATGTAAAAAATAATTTAAAATGTTTCATTGGATTGAGAATGACGAACCTTTTTAGAGTATATGAGAGCAATTTGACTAAAATGTTTCACTGACGGTTACAAATCCCCCGAAAAATGTTTCTAATGTATAGGAGTTTTTATTATATATATATATATATATATATATTATTTTCATTAAATAAAAAAATAAATGTAATTCTTTTTGTTATTACAAATGGAAATAAACTTAATCAACAACTTTTAACAAATTTTTATTTTTACTTTGTATAAATACATGGTTTTATCATTAGCAGCAAAGTTGATCAAGGTTTAACAGTGGCGTGTGACGGTCAAATGATTATGGTTTTATCATTAGAGGGTAGTGATGGTCAAATTTCACCATTGTTTGTAGGGTGAACAATCCAGTGACTCATTGAGAGAGATGGGGAAGGAAAGAGGACAAGCCCTTGTTAAAAACAAAAGTTGAGAAGGAAGAAGAAGTCAAGGGATAAATTATAAAAGGGAGTGAGAGAAACAGGGTTATTAATTTTAGAATAAATTACAAAAGTGCTCATCTCTATCAACAAGATGCATTATTACACCACCAATGAGCTCTTATCATATTTTTGTCAACAAAAAATTTCACCATTTAAAAAGGAATATATGAAGATTATACTGTTAATAATTTGTGTCAAAATTAAGTAAATCATGCATTTCAGTCTAACTTTAAATCCTCTAAGCTTTATTATTAACTAGCTCGTTAATTTCATTTTATGAAATTTTGACATGATTTTTTATTTTTTTATGGCAGCATCAGTTTAATATGGAAAATATGATAATGTCACTCAAGAGTCAAGATATGCTTATTTAAAGGAAAGTTTGTGTGACTTCAAACAACTGTCATATGGTACAGGTTGTAATGTGAAAGATGGAGGGTCTAATTTTAGTTTTTACTCTTTTTTTTTTTTCCCCCAAAATAACTGATGTAAGTCTGCTTGAAAGACAGATTTTGTACATTGTATTTGTTAATAATACTAGCAACAAGACACAGGGAGAGAAATGGATCACTTTATAGTTTCGCCGTATTGTCCGATTCGCGATCTTTTTTTAAGTCCGATACGCAATTCATATCGACCAGTTTATACTGACTTTGTCTGAGTCCATTACATCACAACCGCAACTGATACCGCAACTGTGACCGATATTGTGAACCATACAATGAGGGTATCCGATACAATGGGAGTATTCGATAATTTATTACTGTACATATATTACATAAACGGTCTAGATATATCGGTTCTCCCTATACAGTGTCGCACAAGGATAGAACCAAGTTGGCACACAATCTTTAAAAAACCAGCTATCCTCAACCCAAACCAAACCCACTCCAAATTATTAAACAACTAAATTTTCCTCCCAATCTTTGGGCTGAAAACACACGGCTGTGGGCTCTTCACTATTGTTCGTTTTTGGATGCCCCTTTGCGTTCTAATCCATCTTGGGGCTCGCGTAGTATTTGATCTTCTCAACCTTTTCTGCGTCAGGGACTGCGCTAGTAAGTGGGTAATGGGAAATCAATTCATATTTAGAATGATCATTGGGTTTCAACTTTTCCTTTCAAGCTCCCTCATCCGCAGCTTGATGTGTCTTGCCGATTTGTGGGGGATTTGATTCATCCGCAGTCCCACACATAGAATGTGAGTGTTTTGCGTCATTTTTTTCCCTTTGGTAATTTTGCGGTTGCATATTAGTCGTTGGGATAAACCGGACTCTCAATTCTGGGCGCCTGAGCAAACGGGTATTTTCTCAGTTCGGTCGGCATATTCTCTTGCTCTGTCTCTGTATGATTCTTATCCAATTATTCGGGGACCTTTTAGCTGGAATTCGGTTTTGCGCTACCTTATGTAATACCCCTAATTTTAAAAGGATAGTCTCGACATTTATTTATTATTTTTATTGTATTTTTGCATGATTATTTGGTTTAATTATTTTATTTAATTGTTTACCTATGTGGCATGTGTTTTAAATTGATTTAAGTTATTTATTTTTCTTTAATTGGCGTTTATTGTTTAAGTGTTTTTAGTTATTTAATTGGGTTATTTAATTGGAATTAATTAGTTAAGTTGATTTAATTATTTAATTTTTTTTTTCATTTAATTCTATTTTAAGTTACAGTTAAATTTAGGGTTGCAATTACATAGGTGGCCGACGTAGGTATTTATCTTAGGTCGGTTTATGGGCCGAGATGGGCTTTGGCTTAAGGTTACATGGATTAGGGTTTAATCACTAAGCCTATAAGTATGTGTGTCACGGTGGTTTAGGGTTTGAGAATAATTAACCGGAATTTCTGTAAAAAGACCGTGAGATACAGAGAGAGAGAAACAGTGAGCAGTTGTGGGAAAACAGAGTGAGGCTTAAGAGAATTTGTACAGAAAGGACCAAGGAGGTTGAGTAAGGATTAGAGACAGAGTTATAGGAAGCTTGGCGGCGTTCAGAATTGCAGGAAAACTTAGAGACGACACAGGGATTTCATAATTGAAATCACAGGCAAGTTCTTCTCTTTCTCTTTCCCTTTGGCTCGTGTTCTGTGCACCTAGATAGTCTCTAGGGATTAACTAATTAGTAAATGAAACTTATGTGTTCAATGCATGCTTGTTGATGATTTGTTTGCATGGAATCCAAATCTGTTTATAGTTCGTGTATGGTTGCTTCCTGTTCTGTTCATTAAAACATATTAAAAATCTGTTGAGTTTTGGTTATGATTCTTGCCTCTATCTTCTGTAAACAAACCCTAGGGATGTTAATGGGATGTTATAAGACTCCTAAGATCAGTTTGTGAAGAGAAACAGAGAGGTTGGAATAGAATTATAATTTCGGTTTGGTTCCTAACGCAGGTTAGTTTGGTAGCAAATTTAGTCTCTGTAATTGTTTTTAATTGTTGTTATCAAGCCATTGGGATGCTACTGGGTATTAATAGGACACCTAAGTTTGGTTTTAAAAACTAACAGAGGGTTAGGAATAAGCCGGAGAAGGAGCACAAGAGCTGAAACGACGCACCGGGGACGATGGCTCTCAAAGGAGGTGAGAGCCGGCTCCATAGAATTGGGAGCCGGCTCCCACAACAAAGTGGAGCCGGCTCTAGGGAGTCCTAGAGCCGGCTCTAGGCTGGAAAAGAGCCTGCTCCAAATTCTGGAGCAGGCTCCCTTGTTATTTTGATTTATTTTACGATTTTTTTTAATTTTCTACATACTATGTTCACTGTTGGAGCATGGAGACTGTTTGAATGAATTTGGAACTTTATAGAGGGATCAAGGAATGAATTTTGAGTGTTATTAAGACCCTAAATTAAGTAAAGTTTAATTCTAAGTTGTCGGGACAAACAGTGTAAAAATTAAGGCACTTAACACATGGAAGTTGAATTAATTGTTGAATTAAAATTCAGCAATTTGATGGAACATAATGTGTTTATAAAACTTGTTTTAGAATGCATTCAAGTGCATGATAAGGTCATTTAATTATTAATTTTGAGCTATGCATGCTTAGGAGGCTAGTTGCTGAATTATTAAATTGTTCACTGCAACTATATGGTTAATGCTTGGATTTAAACTGCTGAAATATTTAAACAATCTTCTGAATTGTTTTAGCAATTTATTGGTTAATAATAGGATTATTTAACCTATTCACATGCATGATGGAGTCCCTGACATATTAAATTTGGTCTATGCATGCTCTGGATGTTAGTTGTTGATTTGTTAAATCGTCTCCTGCAACTATACGGTTAAATGCTTGGATTTAAATTGCTGAAGCTTTAAATATTTTTCTGCAATTGTTTGGACGGTAGTTTTTGGTCTGTAAATTATTGAACTGTCATATATGTTATAATTTACATGGATATGGAGGATGGTATGTACCGGTATGGGACGGTGACATACTAGGGACGGTTTAGCTCAAAACGCATAAACCTAACCTAATGGATTAATGGAATGGATTGAAAGGTATCGAATCCTAATTGTGACTAAGTCAGATCAGCTGTAAACAAGTTGGATGACTTCCTGGATTAACGGATAGTAGTTAAGTCATATCAACTGAATAAGTTGAATGACTAACTAGTTGGTTTATTGTATGACAGTTTAGTAAATAGTTGAACTGCATACCCTGGATTTGGATGGACTTTATATATATGGTTACGGTACCACGAGTTGAGCTTGAGTCTCAGACTCGTTGGTTAGGGTGCGTATATGCAGTGGATGCGTAACTGGTTATAATAGGTTGAGGTGTACCCTGTTAGGTCTAGGTACTCATGCCCACCTTTGGGTGCGTATTCGCATGTTGCCTTCTATTCAGGTTGAGACCCCTATTATAGACTGGTGAATGTCCCTTAGTGTGGATATATTTATACGTATGGACTAGATAGATATTGTGAGGTGTCTACGGTGTATCTGCGTGTCGGGTCACTGTATGGATTGCAGTTAGATTAGAACTTGCTCGTGGGTCTGACCCACTCCTTTATTATTCTTTTCAGGTACAGGACGGTTCCAGCCTTAGAGCTTGATCGTGCTTGTCGAGGACAGTCTCACCTTCATCTGATTACGTAGGACTTCTCTCGATATTTCTAGCATTATCTATTTTCAGTTTTCAGTTTCAGTTGAACTTTTGGTTAGGGGTCCATCAGTGGATTCCCAAGTTGTAACCTTGAAGTTTTGGAGGATTGGATTTTCAATTTTTAGTTATACATGGAGGATTTTATAATTAATGTTACTTTCAGTTTTATTCCATCACTTTTGTTTCATTTTGTCATCTGTGTTCGCTTTAAAATACTTTAATTGTTTGATATTCCCTCGGGTTTGGGCCTGGGCCTGATCAACCCGTGTCTCAGATCCGAGGGGTATCACACCTTACTCTTTCTAAGGTGCAATATTTTCTTTGGCGGTGTTGTCATCAAGCTCTACCTACTGGTCCAGTGTTGTTGATGCGGGGATGTGTTGCTTCTCCTTTGTGCCCTCACTGTGGATTGGAGGAGGAGTCTATTGTGCACTTTATGTTTTTTTGTTCTCATTCTATGCAGGTTTGGAAGCTGTTTTCGCTTCGTTTTGATTTTTCTTCTTCTTCTTTTTGATCCTTTGTAGATGGTTGGCGTTTTTTGCTGCATCGGGTAGGTTTGGCATCGGATCCTCTAGTTGCTCTTGGCTTGATTTCCTTTTGTGCGTGGTATATTAGGAAAGGCAGGAATCATTTGGTCTTTGAGGGTGTTTTGTGGCGGCCAGAGAAGGTGGTGGAACGTGCTCTTTCTAGTTTTTGAGAGTTTCAGGACGCGAAGTCCCAACATCACAAATTGATTGTTGTTGTACCATCTTCTTCTTTAGCTTCTTGGTTTCCACCCGCTCGGGGATGATTAAATGCAATTTTGATACTTGTTTCTCTAAGAAGATGGGTGGGGGTGCAGTGTTTCAAGATTTTCAGGGCTCTATCCTCAAGGCTGTGGTGTTTAGACCGTTCTTTGCTTCGTCGGCGATGATGGCTGAGGCGATTGCTTGTCTTCGTGCTTTGTTTTGGGCCTCTTTCTTTGAGTTTCGTTGTTTTAAGTTTCGAATCGGATGTTAAAATTATTGTTGCAGCCGTGGAGGATGCTTCTGTTTGCCCCACCGAGATCGCCTCCCTTTGCTTTGATATCCAAATAGAGCTTAGGTCTTTTTCTGCGGCGTCTTTGACTTTTATTCAATGTTCTGGTAATCAAGTGGCTCATGTTTTGGTTGTGTCGTCGCGGTCTGATGAGGTGGTGGACCGTGTGTTGGACCATTGTCCATCTCAAATTGTTGCTCTTGCTCAGCAGGATGTGTTGGGTGCTCGGGTAAATGATATTGGTTGTGTTTCTTAGTGGTCTTGCTTGATTTGTTACGTATTTGTGTTGTTTGCCTTTGCCCCAAAAAAAAAAAAAAAAAAAAAAAAGAAAAAGAAAAAGAAAAAGACGAAACGAAAACCATGCACTCAGGGCCACCACCTAACAAGTGGCGAGGATAAGAACTTCTTAATCAAGTACCTGTTTTGTCCCTATAAAATTTATGTTTGCTAGGCTGCTTGTATGGGTGAAAGAGTCATTCCGACACCCCATCGCCCTCAGTAGAAACCCATTGGATTTTCCAGACTCCCAAACCACTGCCTCTTGGTTTCACCCTTTTGCTCAAGTGGCACTCCACAGTAAAATTATAATAAGGTGCAGATTTTAATGTGAAAGATGGAGGGACAAATTTTACTTTTTGACGTTGATTGAGTGTTTTATCTACATAGGTGATATCTTTTTTCAAACTTCCATGTACGTTATGTATTGAATTGATGTCGCATATTAGATCTTTCCAGTAGAGAAAGCTCACTCCATTTATTAGGTCCATTGGGATACTCTTTGTCTAAGTAAGAGTAGGGGATGACTTGGTTTTTTTATTTTTAAAATTAGATCTTTTCTTTGCCAGGAAAAATTAATTTTTTTTTAAAAATTTTTTTAATGTACTCAACTGGGACAGAAATGGACCACCATACGGTGTCACATAAGGATAGAATAGAACCAAGTTGGCACACATAATTTAAAAACTAGCCATTCCAAACAAAACCCACTTCAATTATTATTACTCGAAAATAACTAGTTTTTCCTCCCAATCTTCGGGCCGAAATCACAAGACAGTGGGCAGGGCTCATCACTAAAAAGTGGGCAGAAATATGCAAAATCCCTACTATACCCCCCAACTCATGAGTGATTAGACTCATTACATTGGCACCACCTAATTCACAAGGACAAATCAGTAATTCAAAACCAGAAACCATTTGCTTCAGCCTCCGGTTTTTCAATCGCTAGTTTCCAATTTCGTCATCACAGCATGCTATGCGTGTGTATGTATAACTATATATATATATTCTCAGTTCCTCTCATCTCATTCATCAAAACACAAACTTTAGTACAATCAAAATACTATATTGAAGTCTTCAAATTGTATACTGAAGGGTCAAGAAAGATGAGTTCAACGAGCAGAGCTTGGATGGTGGCAGCTAGCATTGCGGCGGTGGAGGCATTGAAAGATCAGGGATTCTGTAGGTGGAACTACACGATAAGAACCATACACCAGCACGCCAAGACCAATCTCAGGTCATTCTCACAGGCCAAGAAGCTTTCTTCGTCATCTTCCACCGTGATTTCGAGCAGAGTGAGAGACGAGAAAGCAAAGCAGTCGGAGGAGTCTCTCAGAAAAATCATGTACTTGAGCTGTTGGGGTCCCAATTGATGAAAGAAGAATAATTTTTTATTTTATTTTATTTATTTATTTATTTTTTTAACTCTTGTGAAATGTAAATACACAAAAAAAAAAAAGAAAGAGAAAAAAAAGAAGTAATTTTGATCTATCAGATAACTTGTATTTTGAGAATTGTTGTTTCAATTAATGTTGATTCTTGCTTGCTTCTTCACATTGTTGAATTCTGAATTGTGTATTTATTGTTTGGTTCATGGGATTGTGGATTCAGTCACAGGGTTTTTGGGTTGAGTGGGTTGTTGGGAGATGGAAGGAATGGAAGGGAATTTTTCTCTTTGGACGGGAAGAGAGGAAGGGAAGGGAAGGGGAGGAGGAGAATTCAGGAGGTCTTTGTGTTTTTTTTTTTTTTTGCTTTCATTTCGAAAACAAATATAGTGTTGATATACCCTGGTCCCTGGAATATGTTTGGTGGCATTATTGATTCAGTTATTTGAAATTTAGAAACCTAGTGTAGGGGTTCAATAACTTTTTTTTTGGCTTTCATTTCGAAAACAAATATGGTGTTGATATACCATGGTCCCTGGAATATGTTTGGTGGCAAGTTTGATTCAGTTATTTGAAATTTAGAAACTAGTGTGTAGGGGTTCAATACTGTAACAATAAATACTGTAAATAGAGATATCAAATCACAAATACGAGGGACCCTCGGCCATGTGACTTTCACCACATGATGATGCATAACTCTTGACAAAGGGAAGAAGGGTGGACTAATTCGAAGTAATATGCAGTGAAAGTAGGAAATTTTGGTTGCTGTAGTCCCCCTTGAATACTTGATTCAATGCTACTTTTCTAGCCCAATAGTGGTGGTTAATACCTGATGATTTACTCGTGGTATCCGCTAATACTCTCGACCTATGGTCTACTGCGAGGGTCTACATACTTGGGTATAATCCCTCTTGAGCCCATAACTTGTTAATGTTTATGTGTAATATGTGAGAATTGTTTTGGTATTAAGGGTGGTGGTAATTGAAATATATTAATGATTCTTTTAGAGTCATTAATGCGATCATAAGGGTTTCTTATATGATCTATGTGATTCACTGTTTCTTAAATGTTGTTTGTTTATTTCTTTTTGTTTTTTTAAAGCTCTGTCAACATCTTTTGACTTTTCAACTCTCTCAATTTATTTGACTTTGCAAGGTGTCATGTGGAGACTACTTTAATATAGCTACAACTAATCATTAGAAAAACTAGTTATTAAGAAAAATTAGAGAACTTCAAAAAAACTATTACAAATTTTTAAATTGGATTTTTTTATTTATTATTCTTTATAAATTCTTCAGAAAACTTTGAATAACTTTACTTGTTTGAAGGAACAAGAAAAGAAATGCATGGGCAAAATAAAAATACAAGAAATGAATATTTTCGTAACCCGGTGAGGGTCTCTTTATTTGCCACAATACGAGTAGTTTAGGAATAAATTGAGCAAATTGAGAATTAAAAATATGATAAATTAAACAAGTAGAACTCGGGTTGTGACCGCTGAGTGTCACATCTGTGGAGGCATTGAAAGAAAAGTCATGTACTTAAGCTATTGGGGGACCCAATTGAACCCACTAATTAATTGTATAATGTATAATTTAATAGCGATTGCTCTGTCGATGAAACAGATTTCGAGAAGGTTTGGTTTTGCCACAATGTTTTTACTTTAGAGAATCTCATGCAATGAGTCATTGGCTTGCTAGTTTTACAGCTTAATGCCATTTATGTCTATTTATTGAGTAGAGTGTGGTGGGTTCTAAAATCTTCCACATTTATGTATAAAATTATTGAGTGTTGAGATAGGGGGTGGATTAAGCACGTTGAAAATTTTGCAGAGATTTCTAAAAGAATTAAGTTATAGTTTGTAAGTATCTGCAATATTCATGTTTCTAAAAGAATTAAGTTATAGTTCTATTCATGTTTGTTATTTTAGAAGAATGCCTATATAAAGAATGAGAGTTTAATTTGAAATTTTAAATTTTAGGAGTAAGAGTGACGAGGGTAACCAAGATATTATGTAAAAAATAATTTAAAATGTTTCATTGGATTGAGAATGACGAACTTTTTAGAGTATATGAGAGCAATTTGACTAAAATGTTTCGGCTACAAATCCATAAAGGGTTAACTGAAAATTGGTAAAAATTTGTTTATAATGTATAGTAGTTTTTATTAAAAATATATATATATATTATTTTCAATAAATAAAAATGTAATTCTTTTTGTTATTACGAATGTAAATAAACTTAGTCAACGACTTTTAACAAATTTTTATTTTTACTTTATATAAATACATGGTTTTATCATTAAGCAGTAAAGTTGATTAAGGTTTACCAATGGCAGCAAAGTTGATCAAATGTTTAACAGTGGCGTGAACAGTCGTGTGTGATGGTCAAATTTCACCATTGTTTGTAGGGTGTATAATCCAGTGACTCAGTGAGAGAGATGGGGAAGGAAAGAGGACAAGCCCTTGATAAAAACAAAAGTTGAGAAGGAAGAACAAGTCAAGGGATAAATTATAAAAGGGAGTGAGAGAAACAGGGTTATTAATTTTAGAATACATTACAAAAGTGCTCATCTCTATCGACAAGATGCACTATTACACCACCAATGAGCTCTTATCCTATTTTTGTCAACAAAAAATTTCACCATTTAAAAAGGAATATATGAAGACTATACTGTTAATAATTTGTGTCAAAATTAAGTAAATCATGCATTTCAGTCTAACTTTAAATCCTCTAAGCTTTATTATTAACTAGCTCGTTAATTTCATTTTATGAAATTTTGACATGATTTTTTAATTTTTTATGGCAGCATCAGTTTAATATGGAAATTATGATAATGTCACTCAAGAGTCAAGATATGCTTATTTAAAGGAAAGTTTGTGTGACTTCAAACAACTGTCATATGGTACAGGTTGTAATGTGAAAGATGGAGGGTCTAAATTTAGTTTTTACTCTTTGTTTTTTTCCCCAAAATAATTGATGTAATTGCTGCTTGAAAGATAGATTTTGTACATTGTATTTGTTAATAATACTAGCAACAAAGAGAGAAATGGATCACTTTATAGTTTCGCTGTATTGTCTAATACGCGATCTTTTTTTAAGTCCGATACGTAATTCGTATCGACCAGCTTATACTGGCTTTGTCCGAGTTCATTACATCACAACTGCAATTAATTCCGCAACTGTGACCGATATTGTGAACCATACAATGAGGGTATCCGATACAACGGGAGTATTCGATAATTTATTACTGTACATGTATTACATAGACGGTTTAAATATATCGGTTCTCCCTATACAGTGTCACACAAGGATAGAACCAAGTTGGCACACAATCTTTAAAAAACCAGCTATCCGCAAACCAAACCAAACCCACTCCAAATTATTAAACAACTAAATTTTCCTCCCAATCTTTGGGCTGAAAACACACGGCTGTGGGCTCATCACTATTGTTCGTTTTTGGATGCCCCTTTGGGTTCTAATCCATCTTGGGGTTGGCATAGTATTTGATCTTCTCAACCTCTTCTGCGTCAGGGATTGCGCTAGTAAGTGGGTACTGAGAAATCAATTCATATTTGGAACGATTATTGGGTTCCAGCTTTTCCTTTCAAGCTCCCTCATCCGCAGCTTGATGTGTCTTGCTGATTTGTGGCGGATTTGATTCATCCGCAGTCCTAGACATGGAATGAGAGTGTTTTGCGTCATTTTTTTCCCCTTTGGTGGTCTGGGAAATTTTGCGGTTGCATATTAGTTATTGGGATAAACCGGACTCTCAGTTCTGGGCGCTTGAGCAAACGGGTATTTTCTCAGTTCGGTCGGCATATTCTCTTGCTCTATCCCTGTATGATTTTTATCCAGTTATTCGGGGACCTTTTAGCCGGAATTCGGTTTGGCGCTACCTTACTCTTTCTAAGGTGCAATATTTTCTTTAGCGGTGTTGTCATCAAGCTTAACCTATTGGTCTAGCGTTGTTGATGCGGGGATGTGTTGCTTCTCCTTTGTGCCCTCACTGTGGATTGAAGGAGGATTCTATTGTGCACCTTATGTTTTTTTGTTCTCATTCTATGCAGGTTTGAAGCTGTTCCGCTTCATTTTGATTTTTCTTCTTCTTCCTTTTGATCCTTTGTAGATGGTTGACATTTTTTGCTGCATCGGGTAGGTTTGGCATCGGATCTTCCAGTTGCTCTTGGCTTGATTTCCTTTTGTGCGTGGTATATTTGGAAAGTCAGGAATCATTTGGTGTTTGAAGGTGTTTTGTGGCGGCCAGAAAAGGTAGTGGAATGTGCTCTTGCTAGTCTTTGGGAGTTTCAGGACGCGATGTCCCAACGTCACAAATTGATTGTTGCTGTACCATTTTCTTCTTTAGCTTCTTGGTTTCCACTTGCTCGGGGGATGATTAAATGCAATTTTGATACTAGTTTCTCTAAGAAGATGCTTTGTGGGAGTGGGGGTGCAGTGTTTCATGATTTTTAGGGCTCTATCCTCAAGGCCGTGGTGTTTAGACCGTTCTTTGCTTCGTCGGCGATGATGGCTAAGGCGATTGCTTGTCTTTGTGCTTTGTTTTGGGCCTCTTTCTTTGGGTTTCGTTGTTTTAAGTTTCGAATCGGATGTTAAGGTTATTGTTGCAGCCGTGGAGGATGCTTCTGTTTGCCCCACCGAGATCACCTCACTTTGCTTTGATATCCAAATAGAGCTTAGGTCCTTTTCTACGGCATCTTTAACTTTTATTCAACGTTGTGGTAATCGAGTTGCTCATACTTTGGTTATGTTGTCGATCTGAAGTGGCGGTGGACCATGTGTTGGACCATTGTCCATCTTAGATTGTTGCTCTTGCTCGGCTGGATGTGTTGGGTGCTCGGGTAAATGATATTGGTTGTGTTTCTCAGTGGTCTTGCTTATGTATTTGTGTTGTTTGCCTTTGCCCATAAAAAAATTAAAAAAAATAAAAAAAAAAACAAAAAAAAAAAACTGACCAGTCTTCACTTACAAGGTGAGAAGGCTGATTAGTCTTTGACATTATCCTTATCCACAAAATCAGGGTAACTTTTCTTCCTCACAAAGAGACAAGAAAATCACCCACCAAAAGAAAAGACCCCACTCAGGCAATGCAGCTGGTTTCATCGACAAGGGGTTTCATTTTCAAAGACGAAACGAAAACCATGCACTCAGGGACACCACCTAACAAGTGTCAACGATAAGAACTTCTTAATCAAGTACCTGTTTTGTCCCTATAAAATTTATGTTGCTAAGCTGCTTGTATGGGTGAAAGAGTCATTCCGACACCCCATCGCCCACAGTAGAAACCCATTGGATTTTCCAGACTCCCAAACCACAGCCTCTTGGTTTCACTCTTTTGCTGAAGTGGCACTCCACAGTAAAATTTTTGCCTGTATATACACACGCACACTGAGGCCAATAAGAATTACACTACAAGCATCGAAGTTACTCAAATCTCGAAACACAAATTACTTGTCAATTTGCTGTTCCAGAAGATCAACAGATAAAGAGTCAGTGTGAAGAAAAAGAAAGAAGAAGAAGATGAGTTCAACAAGCAGAGCCTGGGTTGTGGCCACGCGTGTCGGAGCTGTGGAGGCATTGAAAGATCAGGGATTCTGTAGGTGGAACCACACGATAAGATCAATACACCAGCATGCCAAGAAATATTACTGGTCATTTTCTCAGGTCAAGAGGCTCTCTTCGTCATCTGTGGCGATGGCTTCAAGTAAAGTGAGGGACTAGACGAAGATGAAACAATCGGAGGAGTCATTGAGAAAAGTCATGTACTTGAGCTGTTGGGGACCCAATTGAACCCCATAATACCTAATTGACTGTACACTGTATAATTTAATAGCAATTGCTCTATCAATGAGAAGGTTAATTTTGTAAATTTTGTTTTGCAGCAATATTTTTACTTGGAAATTCTCGTGCAATGAGTCATTAGTTTTTGGAGAACGCAGCTTATGATTCTGCATAGTTGTGTAAACGACATTTGTGTAGAGAGCTTCCTTTTAGAGTTTTCCACACTTGAACAGTGAAGGAGTTGGGGGATTCTAGAAAGTTGGGAAGTTTGTAGAGATATGTAAACTCTAAGATTACTAGAAGATAAGGATATTTATGTAGAGCGTTATAAACATAGATATTAACTATTAATTGTAATACGTGTTATAAATCTAGGGAATGTCTAAAAGGATGTCTATATAGAATGAGAGTTTAATCTGTAATATTAAGTTTCAACGGCAAAGTTATTTTTTATTTTATTTTATTTTATTTTATTTATTTATTTATTCATGTCTCTTATTTTGTTATAAGTTAAAAATATAAATATACAATTTGAAATTTGGATAATTAGGGATATCACTTATTTGTAATCAAGAAGAACAATCTTGAGAGGGAGGGAAAGAAGAGTACAAGAGTTGTGAAGAATAACGGTTTAGAAAGAAGATGAATTAAATAGGGATAATTTAAAAAAGGAGTTATATTTTAAAAAATTAATAGGGATGAATTTTTAAAAATTAAAAGGGAACGAGAGAAACAGAGTTACTAATTTTAAGATAAATTACAAAAGCGCTTAATTCTCTATCAATTAGAGCACAAATGAGCTTATCTTAATTTTCTTAAAATATATATATCTATATATATATTAAAAGTAATATATGAAGATGGTTAAAAATTTGTGTCAAAATTAAATAGATCACACATTTTAGTCAAACTTTATATTTTTTAAACTTCACTCATTGATATTTTGAATTTTTGACATTTTTTTTTAAATTTTTATTGAAGCCACCACTTTAATATTAAAAAATGTGATAATATACGAAAATTTTCATACTCAAAATATGTTTATTTAAAAGAAATTTTGTGTTCTAATTTAGAGAAATTACAAGACAATTATAATAAGGTGCAGATTTTAATGTGAAAGATGGAGGGACAAATTTTAATTTTTTTATGTTGATTGAGTCCTTTACCTACGTATGTGATGTCTTTTTTTAAACTTTCACGCAAGTTGTGTATTGAGTTGATACCGCATATTAGATCTTTCTAGTAGGGTAACAAAGAGAAAGCTCACTCCATTCATTAGATTCACTGGGATACTCTTTGTCTAAGTAAGAAGAGGGGATGACTTAGTTTTTTATTTTTTAAATTAGATCTTTTCTTTGCCAGGAAAAATTAAATTTTTTTTTAATGTACTCAACTGGGACAGAAATGGACCACCATACGGTGTCACACGAGGATAGAATAGAACCAAGTTGGCACACATAATTTAAAAACTAGCCATTCCAAACAAAACCCTCTTCAATTATTATTACTCGAAAACAACTAGTTTTTCCTCCCAATCTTCGGGCTGAAATCACAAGACAGTGGGCAGGGCTCATCACTAAAAAGTGGGCAGAATTATGCAAAATCCCTACTATACCCCGCAACTCAGGAGTAATTAGACTCATTACATTGGCACCACCTCAGTGACAAGGACAAATCAGTAATTCAAAACCAGAAACCATTTGCTTCAGCCTCCGGTTTTTCAATCGCTAGTTTCCAATTTCGTCATCACAGCATGCTATGCGTGTGTATGTATAACTATATATATATATATTCTCAATTCCTCTCATCTCATTCATCAAAACACAAACTTTAGTACAACCAAAATACTGTATTGAAGTCTTCAAATTGTATACTGAAGGATCAAGAAAGATGAGTTCAACAAGCAGAGCTTGGATGGTGGCAGCTAGCATTGCGGCGGTAGAGGCACTGAAAGATCAGGGATTCTGTAGGTGGAACTACACGATAAGAACCATACACCAGCACGCCAAGACCAATCTCAGGTCATTCTCACAGGCCAAGAAGCTTTCTTCGTTATCTTCCACCGTGATTTCGAGCAGAGTGAGAGACGAGAAAGCAAAGCAGTCGGAGGAGTCTCTCAGAAAAATCATGTACTTGAGCTGTTGGGGTCCCAATTGATGAAAGAAGAATAATTTTTTTTTGTTGTGAAATGTAAATACAAAAAAAAAAAAAAAATGTTATTTTGATCTATCAGATAACTCGTATTTTGAGCATTGTTGTTTCAATTAATGTTGATTCTTGCTTGCTTCTTCACATTGTTGAATTCTGAATTGTGTATTTATTGTTTGGTTCATGGGATTGTGGATTCAGTCACAGGGTTTTTGGGTTGAGTGGGTTGTTGGGAGATGGAAGGAATGGAAGGGAATTTTTCTCTTTGGATGGGAAGAGAGGAAGGGAAGGGAAGGGAAGGGGAGGGAGGAGAATCCAGGGGGTTCCCTCAAATCTTGTTTTTTTTGCTTTCATTTCGAAAACAAATATGGGGCTGATATACCCTGGTCCCTGGAATATGTTTGGTAGCATGATTGATTCAGTTATTTGAAATTTAGAAACTAGTGTAGGGGTTCAATACTGTAACAATTTTTTTTTGCTTTCATTTCGAAAACAAATATAGTGTTGATATACCTGGTCCTGGAATATGTTTGGTGGCAAGTTTGATTTTGTTAATTGAAAGGCATAAAAGCATAAAACCTTGATTACAAAATCAAGTCAGTCCCTCAATTATAAAAAAAAATGATCAGTTTCACTCCCGGTAGTCCTTTTCGGCTCATTTCCGATCACCTGTTATTATACATTTACAAAAATGCCCATTATAATTAATATTTTAAAAAAAGAAAATAAAATTAAAATTAGAAAATATCATCAATATCCTCGTGCTAATACATTACTTCACTCTTCACAGTTCACTTTAAAAATTTAGAGAGTAGAGAGAGAAAATGGGTAAGGGAGGGATGTCTCGTGATGGCGGTGAAGAAGAGAACTTGGCAGCTTGACTTGTTAGTATCAATACCCTCAAAATTCAAACTTTCAAGCTCCCTCCTTTGGGTATTAATCTTCTTAAACCGAATGTGACTTGCAAGGTGAAGAAACTCGGTGGCACAAAACCGGCAAGACCAGGCCGGTCATGGTTAGTGGTAAACAGAAAGGGTGTAAGAAAATCCTAGTTCTCTACACAAACTTTGGCAAGAATAAAAGACCCGAAAAAATCAATTAGGTGATGCACCAATGCCACTTGGGTCAACATAAAGAAGAGAAAGAAGGAGAGCTTGTGGTATCAAAGATATTCTATCAAACTCAGCCAAGGCAATGCAACTGGTCTGACCCAGAGTTGAATAGGTGCACTCTCTCCCCGTTCTTTCTCCCTCTCTCTCACAAAGTATCTCGTTAGTATAATGTTGATTCTTTGTCCAATGATGCTGTATGGTTAGTGGAATTGTTTCTCACTACATATCTCTCTCTCTAAAAAGATATCCATATGTATATACATATATTTATATCTAAGCGCGCATAATCCAATAATGATCCTTTGAAATTTGAACAAAGGAGGCTCTACATTTCGAATCATTAGCAGGCATGTCTTTCGCTCTTTATCAATCTCATCTTCGAATCGCTGTAGTCTTGTTATTTTCTATTTATGAGCATGAATATTCTGAGTACGATTGATTTACAAATGTTGTAGATAGAGTATTTGATTTGTTTGCTATTGATTTGGGATTAAAGTTCACACACCTTCTTTTTTTTTTTTCTTTTTTTTTTTTTTTGGCATTGATTTAGTGGTTTTGATTTGTTCAAACTGATCTCATTTGGATTTTAATGAGTAAATGATGTCCCATTTGGTGTTATATCATTTGGGTATTATCCATTTTTGGTCTTGTTTGGAAATATGTATTCTTCAATTTCTGGGAGCCTTTGAAGATACAAATAGTACTAGTTTCAAGAATGATTGTTTAAAATTCATTCCTCAATGGTGTTATATGCTGAGGAATATAATCCTGTGTGGAAATATTGTTTCACAACCTTTATGACCTGATAGACTTGTTCTCTTAGGTTTTTGCAGTATTCAATTATTGGGTCCTTCTTTTGTTGGATATACTTCTTTAACAGTGAACTTTTTTTCACGCATATAAACAGAAGTTTCACCAAATTACCTATAGATTTGAAAATATACTCTGCCCATTGATGGTCCTTAACCATGAATATCCTCAAATGCAACCAATAAAAGAAATTCAAATGAATTGAGAGGCAAGGTTACTCCCAAGATTTTTTATGACACTGCTCAAAGAACAACCTCTGCTTATACAAAGATATCACCACACAATTGTTAAAATGAAAAACATATATACGTATAGATTATATATATATATATATATATATATATATATATATATATATATATATTAACTTTTTCAACTTTAATGGAGTTTTTTTTTTTTGCACTTGGAGAGGGGAACAGTTGCAGTTGGAGGAAGAAGAAAGGAATTTTGGACTCAATTTATAGACCGGGCTACAACGGTCATATTGCAAGGACAGTTATGGAATTATATCAGAAAGTAACCTCACGCGCCGCTCCATCTGTGCCAGAAATGAGCAGGAAAGGACTGTCAGGGGGTGAAACTGATCATTTCTGATAGTTGAGAATCTGACTTGCTCAATTTTATAGTTCAAGGGGGTAAAATGCTGATTTTTGATACTTAGGGCCTGTTTGGAGTTTGTAGTATGGTGTAGTGTAGTGTTCTAGCTTAGAACAGAACAAGTGTTGTGTGGTGTAGTGTTTTGAGAGGAGAACAAAACATGTTTGGCGACAAAAATTTGCCCTGAGAATTTTGAAATAGAAATTATTATAATTTTTTTTAATGATTAAAATAAATTAATTACTTCACTTGATTAGTTTGCAAAACAAGAATTACAGCTTGATTAGTTGATTTAGAAAAAAAATTAAAACAAAAACCATACACCACACAGAATTGCAGTTGCAGAGATAGAGAGACTAGGGCAATTGGGAGGCTGAAATGATTTGCCCTAAAAAAAAAGGGGAAGTCCAGCGTTGATCATTAATTAGTCACAGGAACCTTAGAGTTGGCTTCATCTTCAAAAAAATTTCGTATCAGAGAACAAAAATGGCAACCGTCTCCTCTACCTCTCCTTGCTCCTTCCCCCACCAATCGCAACCATCTTGTCCTAGGTCAAAAAGCCAAACGTGACGGTTTCTTCTCTCTCACCGAAACCACCATCTACCTCCTCCAACCGCCCAATCAACAAAACCCCAAACCAAACACTCCAATTTTCATTCCTTGGTTGGTTAGGGTTGAAGAGATCGAAAATGGCAAAAACCGTGCCCTACATCCCGTCTCTCAAAGGAAAATACCCAAAAAGGTTTCCGAAACAACTCAATTTGCTACATATAGTGTTGGGTATCAAAAGTTTGCAGTTACAGAGAGAGATCGAAAGAGAGACTAGGGCAAGTTCATTGTTGAGAATCCAGATCCGGCCACGAGCTGTGAGGATCCGGTGGAGACGACTGGTTTGGCACCGGCGAAGAGGGAGAGAGAGAATAGGGATGGAGGCGTTTGGGAGGCTGAATGATTTGCCCTAAAAAAAATTAAAACAAAACCCCTACAGGTTAGGGGTTGGAGAGAGAGAGAGAAAGAAAGAGAGAGAGACTGGCAAGTTCAGAGTTGAGACGAGAATAGAGATAGAGGCGGAACACTTGGAACAAGTTTTTTTTGTTCCAACATTTGGCCTAAACAGTGCAAATTGTTCTGATACTGTTCAAACCATCACAACCTACCCCCAACATGTTTTGTTCCTCAATAATGCTCAATAGTGCTACTGTAGCACTGTTGGGAACAATACACCACACCGCAAAACAAAACTCAAACAGGCCCTTATACTTAAGGAGGGTTTTATGCTTTTTTACCTATTTGAAATTTAGAAACTAGTGTAGGGGTTCAATACTGTAACAATAAAAACTGTAAATAGAGATATCAAATCACAAATACAAGGGACTCTCGAACAATGAAAGTAGGAAATTTTGGTTGCTGTAGTCCCCTTGAATACTTGATTCAATGCCTACTTTTATAGCCCAACAGAGGTAGTTAATACCTGATGATTTACTCGTGGTATCGGCTAATACTCTCGACCTATGGTACTGTGAGGGGGTCTACATACTTGGGTATAATCCCCCTTGAGCCCATAACTCTGTTAATGTTTATGTGTAATATTTGAGAATTGTTTTGGTATTAAATAGGGAGGTGGTAATTGAAATATATTAATGATTCTTTTAGAGTCATTAATGCGATGATAAGGGTTTCTTATATGACTTATGTGATTCACTATTCCTTAAATGTTGTTTGTTTATTTATTTATTTTTTGTTTCTTAATGATCTGTCAACATCTTTTGACTTTTCAATTCTCTCAATTTGTTTGACTTTTCAAAATGTAACGTGGAAACTACTTTAATATACCTACAATTAGTCATTAGAAAAACTAGTCATTAAGAAAAATTAGAGAACTTCAAAAAACTATTACAAACTTTTAAATTGGTTTTTCTTTTTATTATTTATAAATTCTTCAAAAAACTTTGAATAACTTTACTTGCTCAAAGGAACAAGAAAAGAAATGCATGTGCAAAATAAAAAATACAAGAAATAAATACTGTTGTAACCCAGCGAGGGTCTCTTTATTTGCCACAGTACGAGTAGTTTAGGAATAAATTGAGAATTAAAAATATGATGAATTGAACAAGTAGAGCCCGGGTTGTGACCGCTGAGTGTCACGGCTGTGGAGGCATTGAAAGAAAAGAAAAGAAAAGTCATGTAATTGAGCTATTGGGGGACCCAATTGAACCCATAATACCTAATTAATTGTATAATGTATAATTTAATAGCAATTGCTCTGTCAATGAAACAGATTTTGAGAAGGTTTGGTTTTGCCACAATGTTTCTACTTTAGAGAATGAGTCATTAGCTTGCTAGTTTTACAGCTTAATGCCATTTATGTCTATTTATTGAGTAGAGTGTGGTGGGTTCTAAAATCTTCCACATTTATGTATAAAATTATTGAGTGATGAGATAGGGGGTGGATTAAGCACATTGAAAATTTTGTAGGGATTTCTAAAAGAATTAAGTTATTGTTTGTAAATATCTACAATATTGATGTGAAGCGTAGATATTAAGTATTGATTGTAATGGTTCTTATTTTAGAAGAATTCCTCTATATAGAATGAGAGTTTAATTTGAAATTTTAAATTTTAGGGGTGAGAGTGACGAGAGTAACCATGTAAAAAATAATTTAAAATGTTTCATTGGATTGAGAATGAGAGCAATTTGGCTAAAATGTTTCACTGCCGGTTACAAATCCGGAAAGGCTTGACTGAAAATTGGTAAAAATGTTTCTAATGTAAAGGAGTTTTTATTAAAAAATATATATATATATTATTTTCAATAAATAAAAATATAAATGTAATTGTTTTTGTTATTACGAATGTAAATAAACTTTTAACAAATTTTTATTTTTACTTTATATAAATACATGGTTTTATCATTAGCAGCAAAGTTGATTAAGGTTTAACAGTGGCAGCAAAGTTGATCAAGGTTTAACAGCGGCGTAAACAATTGTGTGTGATGGTCAAATGATTATGGTTTTATCATTAGAGGATGGTCAAATTTCACCACTGTTTGTAGGGTGGACAATCAGGGACGGACCCAGTAGGGGACTAGGGGGGGCAGATGCCCCCTGAATTTTTAATATTTTCATTTTATACCCTAATGTTTTTAAAATTTATGAAAATGCCCCCCCTAAAATTACAATTCGCCCCCACTAGATTCTTTTTTTTTTTTTAGCATTTTATACTTCAAATTTTGATAATTTATGAAGATGCCCCACTATAATTATAATTTGCCCCACTGATTTTTTTTTTTCATTTTATACTTAAATTTTTTTAAAATTTATGAAAAAAACCCTACTAAAATTACAAAAATAAACCCATCATATAATTTTGTACCCACAAATTAAAAATTCGCCCCCCCTCACCAAATTTTCTGGGTCCGTCACTGTGGACAATCCAGTGACAGTGAGAGAGATGCGGAAGGAAAGAGGATTGTTAAATACAAAAGTTGAGAAGGAAGAAGAAGTCAAGGGATAAATTATAAAAGGGAGTGAGAGAAACAGGGTTATTAATTTTAGAGTAAATTACAAAAGTGCTCATCTCTATCTACAAGATGCACTATTACACCACCAATGAGCTCTTATCCTATTTTTGTCAACAAAAAATTTCACCATTTAAAAAGGAATATATGAAGACTATACTGTTAATAATTTGTGTCAAAATTAAGTAAATCATGCATTTCAGTCTAACTTTAAATCCTCTAAGCTTTATTATTAACTAGCTCGTTAATTTCATTTTATGAAATTTTGACATGATTTTTTTATTTTTTATGGCAGCATTAGTTTAATATGGAAAATATGATGATGTCACTCAAGAGTCACGATATGCTTATTTAAAGGAAAGTTTGTGTGACTTTAAACAACTGTCATATGGTACAGGTTGTAATGTGAAAGATGGAGGGTCTAAATTTAGTTTTTACTCTTTTTTTTTTTTTCCCCAAAAAAATTTGATGTAATTGCTGCTTGAAAGAGAGTTTTTGTACATTGTATTTGTTAATAATACTAGCAACAAAACAGAGGGAGAGAAATCGATCACTTTATAGTTTCGCTGTATTGTTCGATACGTGATTTCTTTTTAAGTCCGATATGCAATTTGTATCGGCCAATTTATACGGACTTTCTTTAAATCCATTATATCATAACCGCAACTGATATCACAACTATGATTGATATTGTGAACCATACAATTATGGTATTCAAAACAATGTGAGTATTCGATAATTTATTACTATACATATATTACATAGATGGTCTAGATACAGTGGTTCTCCATAGACGGTGTCACGCAAGGATAGAACCAAGTTGGCACACAATCTTTAAAAAACCAGCTTATCCTCGAACCAAACTAAACCCACTCCAAATTATTAAACAACTAAATTTTCCTCCCAATCTTTGGGCTGAAAACACACGGCTGTGGGCTCATCACTATCAAGTGGGCAGAAATATGACAAAATTTATATTCTACCCCCTAACTCATTGCATTGCCATGACTAATTCATGAGGACAAATCGGTAATTCAAAACAAGAAACCATTTGCCTCAGCCTATCGTTTTTCAATCGCTGGTTTTCAATTTTGTTATCACATCACACATGTATGAGTGTATGCGGTATATATATATTCTCCGTTCCTCTCATCTCATTCATCAAAACACGAACTTTAGTGCAATCAATATATATTCAAGTCTTCAAATTGTGTACTGAAAGATCAAAGAAAGAAAGAAGATGAGTTCAACGAGCAGAGCTTGGATGGTGGCAGCGAGCATGGCAGCCGTAGAGGCGTTGAAAGATCAGGGATTCTGTAGGTGGAACTACACCATAAGATCCATACACCAGCACGCCAAGACCAATCTTCGGTCATTCTCTCAGGCCAAGAAGCTTTCTTCGTCGTCATCGGCGGTGGTTTCGAGCAGAGTGAGAGACGACAAGGCAAAGCAGTCGGAAGAGTCTCTCAGAAAAGTCATGTACTTGAGCTGTTGGGGTCCCAATTGATGAAAGAAAAAAAAAGAAATCACACTTATGAAATGTAAATACACAAAAAAAAAAAAAAAAAATGTAATTTTGATCCATCAGATAACTCCTATTTTGAGAATTGGTGTTTCAATTAAGGTTGATTCTTGCTTGGTTTGTTGAATTTTGAATTGTGTATTTATTGTTTGGTTGGTGTGATTGTGTGATAACTCCTATTTTCTGAATTTTTAGAACTGATTTTTCACTTACAAACCAAACAAACAGATCCTACTTTTTGGACAGGAAATAAAGAAAATTTAGCTCAGGTGTTCGGAAAAACATAAACCTTTTGCCTTCACACCGAACCCGAACCGAAAAAGACTCGCCACAAAGAACACCCGACTCGACTCGAATCCGAACGATTCCAATTTCAAAATATAACATTGGACTTGTTAAACTTCAGAGTATAGCATTTAAATCATTGAACCATATCTGAAGTAAATTATATTAACACTTGTTGATAAAATGAATTCAACCTCTTCAAGTAGGAAGTGTACTTAATTTAAAAAAACAAAATAGTGAACTAAATGGGTTATAAAATTAGTATGAAATTCCATGTCCTTATTCCAAGCACAGCTTGTAGTGAGATTTGATGCCCAATACATTGAGAGTATGAAAAAAGATTTCACCTTGAGATGTGACTTTGAAGCAAGACATTTTGCTTGTGTATTGTAAACTTGGACCAAAACATTTTGGTGGTGGACCTAATAATAAATTTTACAACACTACTGAAATTTATATTCATGAGTGTTCATGATCGAGTAAAGTCTACACAAATTTATATATTTATGAATGTATTTATTAATAACCTATATTCATGCAAACATACTAGCTTACATGGTTCACGTTCACGAATAAGTAAAGTCTACACAAATTTATATTTATGAATGTATTTATTAATAACCTATATTCATGCAAACATGCTAGCTTACCTTGTTTACCCATTTGAATCTAATCCAGCAATTTCGGTGCCGTACGAGAATTAGAATTGGATTTTACAGTTATTGCTGATCCTCATGGATTGGATAAATTGGAGCAAAGGCGACAAAATTTTAATAATTGATTGGACTTATTTTCAAAAACTCTTCAAGGAAGATAGTAGCTTCAAAATTGTTTCTTTCATGACTTCTGACATACTTATATCGGACGGTTTAAATTTTACCATGTAACCAGAGATCAAACTCTAACCACCTCACTGGCTTATATTATTTCTATGGAGATTAATGCAGTGCCTTATATTCTATGGGTCCAATGTGTATAATCAGTGTCAGAAATTTTGGGAGAGAAAGTGGCTTTATACAAAGCTGCTAGATTATACCCTGGCAAGTTACCATTTGCCTAATTCATGGCAGAAAAAAAGATTGCCAATCAAGAATATATATATATATATATATATATGTATGCATGCATTTGACGGAAAGCAAAAGAATGGATGCTTTTGCGAGAGGGCCACATGGGATAGGAGTATCATCCAGTATTCCAATGTACGTTATTCTTTTGAGGGCATCACAACATGTGAAAACATCATAATGTATCATGGCTTTCATGCATGTTCAATATCAACTTTTTATATGTAATAATTGGTTATAAACTTAGGCTTAACTATATATTGAAACCGAAGTTTGATATACATATTATTATACCAAAATGTAATCAAATATTTGGCCAATTATTAACACGAAGAGGTAGTGACTTCAATTTAGACCGTTTATATTGATGGGATAACTATTATCTATTACTTTTTTTCTATTCCCCAATAATTCGAGATTTTTTTTATAAAAAGTTGTTTAAGAAGTTTACCGGACTATTTGCAAAAAGTGATATTTTAATGGAAGAGAGCGCGAAAGTAAGATTATATACATTCAATTTTATTCAAATTATATAATAATTGAAATTTCGTGACTCATATTTACAACTCTGACCTCCCAATAAAACCATCTTACAAGCTTACATCATCTCCTTTATATTCCATAATGGGAATTGATCCTCTTGGATAAAAAGGTCCGAACATTGATTTAAAAGTTACAAAATGGGATTGGATCTTCTCTAGGAGAAAAAAAAAAGAAAAAGGTTCATATATTTTAATATCAATGTTGTTTGTTAGTAGCGTGATTCACTTTTTCTCACGCACAATAAACAAAACGATAACGGATCATCTTCTTTAAATTCCATAATAGGATTAGATCCTCTCTAGAAGAAAAAGATCCGAACATCGATTTAACAGATAAAAAAGTGGTATCATTATCATCAATTGTGAATAATAATACTTTATTATAAAGTTAAAAATGCGACACTGCTATTTGTTAGATAGATAGAAAAGTATTCATTAGGCCAATGCACATAGATCTCAATTTTTCTGAGTGTCCATAATTTGTAGCACCAACTGCCAAAACCCGGGAACCAAAGAAATTGGGAAGTAGAGAGAACATCAAATCAAATCAAATACAGCTAATTCCAACATTTAAAGATCCCAACTGTTTCAAAACCATGGATTGGCCACCGCCATGTCCCAATCAAACACTCCTAAAAGCTCAATTCGTATGAATATAAATATATAGATAGATATATGTATGTATATATATGACAATGATATATCATTCCCGTATAAAGTGATATGGATTGTACGAGACACTCTTAGAAGTAACTGCGTGGCGGTGCCCTGAAATCGATTCCCGGTGAAGTGGGTCAGATTCTGGCGAGAGAAGAGAATGGCTGTGACCAACGAAAAGTCGATTTCGGAAGGGAAAGTGTGGCGTCTCTGTAGACTGCCGTTTTGGCACTCGACCAATGCTTCTTCTTCTTCTTCGCAGAGTAGTAGTACTGTTCATCTGCAGAATCAAACCATGGATCATTCTAATCTTCTTTATCCCAACTCGGTCTCGTCCATGGCAAAGTCCCTTCTTCCCAGTAGGCGCAGACTTAGTCTCGATCCTCCCAACAAACTCTACTTTCCCTGTAAGTCTCATGGTTACACACACATATATATATATACACACACAAACACAATCAGTTTTGGGTGTGATTTTGTAATCAATTTCTGGAGTTTTGATCTGGGTTTTCTTCATTTAGTCTTGTTTCAATTGATTTTGCATGTTAGCTTTTATTCTATGGCATGGGTTTGAGTATTGAGAGGAGGATTTGAAGTGCTCTTGAACTTAATTTTTCTTTGCCTTGTTTATTAGATTAGGATACTTTAATAAATGTGGATATTTCCTTGCTCTCTCTCTGATCTGCATTTTTGGGGTTTGTTCATAGATTAGTTTAATGCTAATATGTTATGCCACATCCTTTATGTTCTCATCAGGAACTATATTTTTTGTTTAATTGTACCGCAACTTTTCTTTCAAATATGTTTTATTGTTGACTAATTTGTTTGATTTTCTTGTTTATGTAATTTAAAGACGAACCAGGTAAACAGGTGAGGAGTGCAATTAGGATAAAGAACATATGCAGGTCTCGTGTTGCTTTCAAGGTATGGAATATTTAGCTTTGTCTATTAGTGGTTCTTTCTTGTGCTTGATACTTTTTATCTGTCTTGCTTGTCTCAGATATGGGCATTTACTTTCTCTGACCGTATTCTGAATTCCTTTATTAAGAATTATAACATTTGGATGGAATTTTTTCCCCAAAAATTTGGCAACAATTTCTAGAAGCTTGGTCAGAGATTCTTGATAATACATTTGAAAGGGAGTTCAGAAGTTTCTGCTAAGGTTCAGTAAAGTTTGGTAGATATATATATATATATATATATATATATAAGGGTTTTTTAAACTACAAACGAGTGTTAACAAGGCCTGTTACGTAGTGGTTCTTTCTCTCCTTTCAAAGTTAAAGGTAGAGGGTTCAAGTTTCCCGTTTAAATCTATATCTTGAACTGCCTATGCGGGGAGCTGGGACTAGTCAAACCTAACCTTTGACCTCATTTTATACAAAAATGGCTGCTCTTGGTCCTGAACTCACATCTATACAGTCTGGCAGCTCAAACTGTTACCGTTGCAACAAGCAATGGACTCTACATTACATCCTGCACCTATTATATTAAAATACTTTTCTTATCAAGCAAAAAAATATGATGCATTATATCACCTGCCTGCTTTTTTTGTAATTAATTATTATGTTGATCTATTTCATTACTCATCAACATTATTCCCTAATTTAGCCGTCTAACTGGTGATTTTTTTTGTTATATTTTAGTTTCAAACAACTGCACCTAAGAGCTGTTACATGCGTCCTCCAGGGGGCATGCTTGCTCCCAATGAAAGTCTTATTGCAACTGGTAACATCATTTTTCTTAGTACTCCATGTTTTTTTTTCGGCCCTGTTATGCTGCATTTGTGGACTGAATGAAGGCCCTACTGCTAAGCGACGTCCTCATTACAATTCAAACTTATCCTGACAGTGTTCAAATTTGTGGAGCATCCGGAGAACAATGAGAAACTACTAGGTCAGAAGAGCAGGGTTAAGTTCAAGATAATGAGCTTAAAAGTAAAAGGGGAAATGGATTTTGTACCAGAACTGGTAAATATTGCTTGTCCCATATTTAGTGTTTGGTCTTAATTGATAAAGATAAGAGTGTTTGTGGAATCTTTTCACCTTCATGACAAACTTACCATAACTTTAAATGTCATATTTCTCATAGTTGATTCTTTCGAGTCAGATTCACACTTTTTTTTCTTTCTAATTGATGCATTTGAGTTTATTATATGATGACTTGAAGTTGCAGAATTCTTAAGCAAATTTAAATGATTTGTCAGACAGATTATTTCAATCGTTTTTGTTCATGTTACATGGACTTTTCCGAAGTAGGTGAAGCACCCGTAGTGGTCAAACAATAGTCAAACATGGGTAGGGAACGTGTGTCTTACACTTGGTTGGATATGCACCTAAAATGTATATCAGATAACTAAATAAAGCATCATCCAACTCTTTGGGGTCGGCTACATGAATCTTGTTTTGCCATTCCACTATATCTAAAGAAAAATTCCCTGTTCAACCAAATTCTGTGATATCTTTCGATCAGTTTCAATCCATATTAGTTTTGGTATTTCCCTTCCCCTAGCATTATTCTTTAATAAGGACCTTGTCACTTTGTAGTCATTGGCAATCACTGCATATGGCCACACTATCGTAATTCGTGAATCTGTTACTGTTGAGTTAATAGGTTTTGGCACCAGTTTTTAATGTCATCTGCTAATTTTCCAGATGATGCAATCGAACGGAGAAGAGATTCAATGTCTTGACATGTTACAATTTTCAATTTGGACTGGTTGATGGTTATGGAAATTAATCAGTTGTCCCTGCAATTTTACATCTAACTGAACTGTAGAGTTCATTTTTCTCAAATAAAATTCAAATCAGAAACTTCATTTTGTACACAATTCAACTTAATCATTACTATGAACCTTTTGAACAGCTATCTGTCATATCAATGACGGAGAATTTGTGTTATTTGACAATTTTTAAACAGTTTGATGAGCAAAAGGATGAAGTAGCCATTGAACAGATTTTGCAGGTTGTCTTCCTTGATGCAGAACGACCCTGCCCTGTAAGTAATATAAAAATATGACTAATTTAGTATCTTTTTGCACTTGCATGTGTATATATGCAATATTTTTTCCTTAATTTCTGAGTCTATAGTGTCTGATTTTGGTAAGACACTGGAAAAACTTAATCGACAATTGGCTGAGGCTGACGCTGCAGTTGAGGCTCGAAAAAAGCCTCCAGAAGAGACAGGTCCAAGAATCGTGGCTGAAGGACTTGTTATAGATGAATGGGTGAGACTTTTACTTATCCGGCTGGGCTTCTGTAAGTTGTTCCTTGTACATTGCTTAAAATCCTCTTTGGTCCTCATTCGTTTTTGCAGAAAGAAAGGAGAGAAAGATATCTTGCTCGACAGCAGGTTGAAGGTGTTGATTTAGTGTAACATGCCGATTTTATATGCTTAAGCAAAAGATTTTATAAGCTGGTATTGAATTTTTAACCCTGCTGTTCTTGACTGAAGCACCGGGGTGTTTATGAAATGTGTGATACAGAAAATGTATTTGAAATTGCTGGGATTAGATGGCAAGCTTGATTAGAAATGAAATTGTGGTTTTTTTTTTTTGTTCCCAAGTTCATAAGTTGTCTCATCTTAAATACATTTTACGCCATGGCTAGTTCTTCACTAGAAATTCGGCCATTCAGACAATTGGAGATCATGTAAAAAGCTTTTTATTTACATAAATTTTCGGATTTTCTTGAGCCTGCTTGTGGAAACCAACCAGTTTCATTGTGTTTATGATTTAAAAGAACTTCTGATGCAACTTGGTGTGCATTTTTAGTCATCAATCAGGTTGTGTTACAAGTATGGTGACTGATGTGGTTTTGTTTAAAGGTTTTATTCTATAATGTATATGGTGACTGATCATTTTAGCAAAACCTAATCAAAAGCTCTTTTGTTTAAGATTTTTCTAATTTAAAATTGCTAGTTGTTGTTCCTAAATGAGTTGACACTTGACAGCTAAAAAGCAGATTATACTATGCAAATAATAATCTTGTTTTCTTAGTTTAATTTGCTGGATATTATGGACAATGGATTGCGATCTAGATACCATACACTGTGTCCAGTGGTCCACTAAGCTTAATATAATCTTCATACCTGGTGAATCCAAACAATGTATTGAATTTTAATGTTGCATCGTTATGGCGTGTTTGGCATCCCATGGAAACAATTTAATCCCATTATGCTAATCATAGATTTTAAAACAGGTTTATTTGTTACACACTCGAGGTTTAAATTCTTTGGTTTCATGAAATAAGTTGTCTTGAAAGACCTTGATTTGATTCGTATTCATGAACTAGTAGTAAAACCGAATCCTGAATTAAGTAGAGTTGTGGATTAATGTCTTACATGAAGCAACCAAACAAAGTACTAAGCGTGTATCATTCATAGCAAACCAGATATTTAATATGATAATCAAAAGTATTAAGTAACATATTTAATTTAATAATAGAAAGTAATGAATAATAAATTGATGGACACTGAAATGAGGGAGATCATATCTTCTTAACCTTGCTGGATAGTAATTTAATAATTGAAAGTAATGAATTATAAATTGATGGGCAATGGAAGAGGAAGATTATATATCTAGGAGTAGGTTCAAAGCGAGTGGATAAGTTTCTTGTTTTTTATCGAGTGGGATTATACAATATGAGTGGTTTAATTTGAAATAATTAAGAAAGTGAATTTGTGGACCTCACATGAATGATTACAAAGGCGATAAAATTCAAAAAAAGAAGACGACAATGAGCCTACCTAATGATGTTGATGAACATTGCTTGTAATTATCGACCCGTCCTATTCCTATACAAGTGGATACTAACACATAAGAGATAGTCTTAAAATGCTGGAGATCAATCTCTCTGTGTGTACGTATGGGTGTGTGTGTGTGTGTGTGTGTATATATATATATAGATTTTAGGAAGTTGGTGGTTTTAAGTACAAACAGCCTTGAAATAATTACACCTCAAGCCGCTTTATTTTTGTTGCACCTCAAGCCGCTTTATTTTTGTTTCTGGGCCTAAAACCGACGACGTTTTGGTCAATTTTTTAAGAAAATAACGAAAAAAGTGATAAATATCAACCAAGGTCTTGAGTTGGGAAAATTCTAAAATTCTGTTGTATCCTTCAGGTCTTTCGATTGTTAGATCTGATGATGGATGTCGTATCTCGGGATATAGAACTTTTCAATAATTTTAAAGGAACCTTTATACAAGCAAATAAAAATAAATAAACTAAGAAAATGAGGGAGCAAAGACCATCAAGTGTTATAATTTAGTGATTAAAAAAAAAAAACACTATTATTTAAAAAAATATGCAAAAAAAAAACACCCAAGATATTAGGTATGTGCAATAAGTACTCTCTCTTTCCAACTTTTTATGATATTAGAGTTTTAATAGTTATTTGTTATATGGATAAGAGTGAAGTTTCAAATATGCTCTTACTAAAAGACAAAATAGTACTCCGTAATTAATGCTTTTGTTTAGGTAAAAGGATAGTTTAGAAATGTTATAAAAAATACTACATTCAATTTTTAAATGGGACATATATTTTGTGGGACATTTCAAAATGGAAAGATGGACAAGTATTTTGAGCCAGAGAGAGTATATGAATTTTAACATTAGAAAATATGTGCAAATTGTGGTTGACCAATAATTTTGATCAAAATATTTGATAATAACTTCAAAATACACTTAATATATCCTTAAAAATTAAATTAGTATTTTTATTATATTTTAGTTATTTTGATTTTCAGATTGACATAATGTCTTTATTTGTGCAATGCAATGAATTTTTTAAGAAATTACTTAAAATATATATATATATTTTACTAATATGTTTATTTGTTTGGTTGGTGTATTTGTTATAGTCAAGAAATATATCAATTTCCCGAATCCTAACACTCATTCAAATAAACATATTTGTAAATAATGTAGATCATGTACACTCATATAATTTATCAAATACTTAAAATGAAATTCATTTTATTTGGACTGTTCTTTATTTTTATTTAAATCGAACCGAAGAAAAGTATACCGTGTAACACCATAGTTGGTCCATCATGGTACCGCTTTTAATAAAAACCAGTACTCCTCCTGCAAAGACGATAATAACAGGGTGATGGAGTCCATCTCTAGCACGTGATGTCCCATAGGGCCATGCCACGTCATTTCCTTGATGCTCCAGAATTACTCGGAAGCAGGAGGGACTGGCCCACTCCATGTCCGCTTCACGTGTCACTGTCGTCCATTTCTGATTTTTGTATTGAGACCCAAAGGACAAGGTTACCCTGGTGTCAAGGAAAAGGACAGAATTACCCTTATGTCAATGAAAAAGACAGATTCCTACACGGTATAATAATTGTTGTTTGGTGGGACCCATTTTGTGGAATCAAATATCGAAAGGGAGGGAGGAAGGAACTTGGTGGATGCATATTGGGTGCATTTAGATGAGTCATCACATTGCCTTCGGATAAGCACGCCCTCTGTCAGTCTGTCCCCTTCACTGCTGCATGCAGCTACAGTAATGCTTATAATAGATACCTCAACTTCTCGCGGTTTTCAGATAAAATGTCGTATCGTTTCCTAACATTTTTGTACCCCCTTATCTCGTAGCACGGTTCTCTTTTTCTCAAGACCACACAACTTTATTGATTTTAACAGTTTTTAGGGTTTTTAGTCCCATCATTTACAATAGGTTTTGATATTGGTTTATTTTTTAAAAAAAATAAAAAATTAGAAGCTGATTCCATTTTTAATTTTTCTTACAAACCAAACGAATTACCTTAAACTACCCTAGTTACGTTCAGGACGGAGCATTGTACACTTCAGGGGTAATTGCTCCTTTTGAATTTTTTTTTTTTTTTTTTTCATTATTTTACTATGTTATTTTGTCACTATGATATATGTACATACGAAATATTATCTTTGTCCCCTTTAAATTGTTTAAACAATTCAATATTATCCTCTAACTTAGAATTTTTGGATCCATCCTGATTACGTTGTTATTTTTCTCAATTTTTGTTTTTACCATTGTTTTCCCTGATAGAAGTGGTTGCTCTTGGAAGAAACAAATTAGGTTAGTTTTGGGATTAAAAAAAAAAACACTCTTAACATTAATGTTATTTTAGTGAATTGTTTGTTGCCTAATAGAAATATTTAAAAGTATGATCAATCTTTAATCTTTTTTTTAAAAAAGACCAATATCAAAACTTATACAAAACGGTAGAACTTAAGCCAAATAATAATAATAATAAATAAATAAATAAATCCTACTTTTTAAGAATTTAAAGATAATTTGAAGAAAAAAAAAAACAATAGTTTGAAAGAATTTTTTGACATTTTAAAAATAAAAGTGTGATGCTTTTTATATGAGATGGTGAGAGTGATACAAATTTATAGTAACATATTATATTACTTTAGGAATTAATTAATATTCATTCTTCAAATAAATGAACTCCACTTTTAATAAATCAGTAAATAATTTGAATTTCAGCTATTGAAATTTAAATGCTTTATTTTAAATTTGGTAAAAAATAATTAAAATTATCTTGACATGAATTTGAATGAGTGAAGTTTGAGCGATTGTCAATTTAAAACAAGTGATTGCGTTGTCCATTTAAATTGAAAATTTATTATATCTACTTAGTGATTGCATTGTCAATTTAAAATTTGTTAAATTCACTATGTAAATTTGTTGAATTATGAGAAAAATGTAACATTATATATACAATTTTATTATTATTATTTTTTACAAGATTATCCTTACAATTTTAAGACTAGACATTTCCATCAAACGGGTTTGGCGAGAAATTGACGATTCAGCATGATTCGTACGTTATCTATACTTCCGAAACCATCCAAAATCCTCGGATCATCTCGTTGTCAGTAACATACCAAAACCACTCGACTAGACGGTTTCCAGTTTCCGGTTTCACAAAACCACCATATCTCTTTTCTCTATTTAAATAGACCCTCTCTCAGCATCTTCAGTACAGCAAAAAAACACACAAAGCAAAGCATAGAAAAGCAAACACAAAGCACGGTTGTTTCAGTTTGTAAGTTGGAACCAGAAACAGAATGAGTTACTTGAACCGGGTTTGGATGGCGGCCAGTGTCGCCGTTGTAAGTGGCCATTCCGATGAGGGGCATAAATGGAAGTCCGGCCTTCGATCTCTTCAGCACGGCAAGGCCGATCTCCGGCCGTTTTCCGGCATGGTCGATTCCAACATCGACGGATTTGGCAGCGGAGAGGAGAGGAAAAAGAAGACCGACGAGTCTCTCCGGCAAGTCATGTACTTGAACTGCTGGGGCCAGAGTTAGTTAAATGCTTCCAATATCGCCGGTGGTTGTAAGATTCCGGCGATTTGATCGGATATATTTGGAGAGAAATTAAAGGTTCTACGGTGGGATAAAAAGTCGCCATAGGTATGCGGGAAGAGCGAGTTGACTCGGAGAAAGATGGTGCCGTGTCAGAGAGGCTGAATCGGCTTGGCCAGGGTGAAATTGTTGGAAGGATCAAGGATGGAGTCCTCAAATGTAATTTTTGTAAATTTGTATATAGTTAATAACAGCTCAAAAATAATATGACAAGATTGTTCTATAGTTCATAAGTTTTCTTATATTGTTATCTTTAATCTGCGCTGTGTGTACACCAACTACTAAGTGAAAATTGTGTTTATAGTTCTGCACAACCACCATA